CTTTTGACCAGCCACCACTGCCAGGTCAACTTACTTTGTTTCCAGAATCGGAACGAGAGGCAAAGGCCGCGGACGAAGAAACCGATGCAGCGAGCAACATGAAGAAACGCAGACGACTTGCTCTGGGCCCCCCGGTCAAACTTCAGGCTGTCAAGACAGAACCGAAGGAGGAAGCAGAGTCAGAGTCAGACTGCGACGGGGACCAGGAAGAGATTCCAAATGGCACAGGCGCCGATGGGCAACCACGTATGGAGGCCTCTGCATTCTTACAGTTTGTTGAAGGTGAGAACGAACTGATGCCAAGTCAAGAAGATCCTGTAGAAGTCATAGCTGAAGGGACCAGAAGCCGAGAAGACATGTTTCAATTTGGTGTGAGGAACATTCAGCGAATCCACAAATACTTTGGTGTCAAACCATTGCAAACGCTCTCTGGAAACTTAAGTTCGCTCAGTATCCTGTCCTTGTACTCGGGCCTTGGTGGTGCAGAAATCGCGGCTGCGATCACCGCAACATCTTTGCGATCCTACATTGAGACAAATGGTGGTTTGCAGGGATCAGTGGACTTTCCAATGAAGCCACACAACTTACTAGCATGCGACATCAATTCAGACTGCCAAAAAATCCTGAAATCGCATCCAGAAGCTTGAATGTTAAAGACAGCCAGACTGTTTGCGTTACTGCGTTACGTCAACTTTTTTGTGATAGATTATTATTGAACCCCACATCGCCCACTGCCCAACCCCCCAGCCATTCTACTCTCAGGACCCAGCTCAATATTTGATGAATTCTTTGGAAGACTTCTTGGAAGAGGGTGCGGCCGCGAAGCTTCTACAAATGATTGAAGACAAGAAAAGCGACTGCATTGATGTGTTCAAGAAGCTCTCAATGACACCGGATCAGGCCGTTGCCAAGGCAAGAGCCAAGGCAGCTTCTAAGGCCAAAAAAAGCTGGCACTGAACCGGATCATGTCGATGAACGTGAGGTGAAGAAGCTCCACAATTGTGAGGTCAGGAACGTGAAGCAGCAGCTGGCTGCCAGTTCACAAGCACTTGTTCGCGATCTTGTCATTCGGATTGAGAAGGACAATATGATCAAGAAGGCCATTTCCACCGGGAAGCTTGAGCCAGTAACTTGCCATCTTGCAAAACTACGTGTGGACAGTGGACACGTGTATATTGGTTAAAGACGTCCCTTTGTGTATTGTGTCTGTTCACTTTCAATTTCAATGCAGAATTTTTATGCGGAGAAACATGGAGTATATGGATCATACAAGCCTGCTCAGGTATCCATTCAGGAAATATCTGAACGAGAGCTCTTGATGGCCGTGGTTGGATCTACTTGCAAAGACTGGACCGGTTTAGCAAAAAAAGGGTCGATTATTGTTTGAATTGTTTTGTCCATTCAATCCAATCATCGTTAATCTAGTCTACTTTTACTTTTACTATATACTTTGTATTGCATCATATGTCATATGTCTCTCACTTACAGGAGCTCAATGGGTTCGCGCACGGGATTTTTGGGACCTTCGGTCCTGGCATTCGCAATTTTTGCTGCAGTTCTTCGTGCCGTCCGGCCAAAGCTTTTGGTGCACGAATGTACGCAAACATTCGACGCCTCGATCTTCAGTGTGTTGTTCCCAGATTACCATTGCCAAAGCTTGCTCACTCATCCCGCTGACTACGGTTTTCCTGTGAAGAGGACACGGTTGTACTCCTTGCTGGTGAGATCAGATATGAAACTCCTACAGCCAGTGTCAGACATTTACAGACTCTATATTTCCCCCAAGATTGACTGCGGAGCCTTCTTTGCAGCAAATGACGAAGAGGCCGGCTGGCTTATTGTTTTACGCCCAAGCCTTTATGGTGTTTGGTATCACTTTGTTGGGGAGATCGCTTGTGCGACTTGCCTACCACCGTACCACCAACCATATATTTGTTACACGGGTGAGTGTTTGATGAAGTTTCACGTTTAATGTTTCAGTTTCGGTTCAAGTTCAGTTCAGGTGGATGAGATGCGCAATCAAATGGCTACGAATGCAACTTGACTGGACATAATGACCAGAATGCTGAAGTCCATACTCCATACTCCCGAAGTCGAAGTCTGTGGTCCGTTGTCTGTGCCAGCTGGCAATTTAGCAAATGTAGATGTAGATTCTTAGATTGTAGATAAGTTTATTGGTTGCTGCACAAGCTGCGCAAAGTAGAACACACAAAGGAGTCATAGATTGGGTGAATGTAAGGCCAAAAAGTCTGCACAAGCGACTTGGACAGATTTGCTTCCAGTTGCAGCGCAAGTCAACCTGGAACAAGCTCTCAAATTGGAAAAGATCAAGAAGCACATCCCTGCCCATGAGATTGCGATCAACCTGTCGCAGAATGTCTTGTGCCAAGAACATTTTGGGGTTCATGCACCAGTCGTGCTGGCGTCAAGCACCCATATTTGGGGTGTGATGAGGGGTAGGCCCTACACAGCCTGCGCATCTTGGCTTGGACTTGGACTGTGTTTACTGTAGCTTGGGGGTCAGGGTGCTGGAGGATTAGTCTCCTTTTTATTGTGGTTCAGTTCGGTGGGGGGGGCCGGGTCGGGTGTGGCCGATGGCGGTTTTGAATTGCGAGGTCGACAAGTGTAGATGGATTTGTAGCTTTATTGATTTGTTCAAGTAAGGAACTTTTGGAAATGCAAGGGATCCCGATGCATAGCGACGCCTTGAAGGCTTGTGGTATTTCACAAAGGTTCTTTGATGTGGGCCTGATCACGCCATCTGCGCAGAAGAGACTTGCTGGCAACTCCTTCCAGCAAGGATGTATGTCTGCCTTCATTTGCTTTGCATTGTCCTTCGTGAAGCCCGCTGCGGACCTTGACGAGGCAGAGAAACAGGCAGCCCATGCAGCCATGCGCCAGGCTTCTTCTCAGGGCCCGGACCATCACTTTTTGGACGAAGAGGCGGAGGAGGAGTGAGCAGTAGCAGGATGCATCCTGTTTCTGCTCAGCAAAGGCTGTTTGGTGAGAAGTCGTATAGCAGCTATAGCATTGAGTTGAGTGATGTTTATGAACAAATCATGTGGTCAGTCAGTAGTTCAGGTGCTTTTGGAGTTGAGCAGAGCAGCAAAGCGGTGCCAGGATAGATTGTTGTTTGGGATAGGGCCGCCTAGCCTGGTGGGCCGGTGGCCCGGGCCCAAAAAATCAATTCAACACAGCATCTCATCAAACTAACCACCACCAGAAGCGAGAAAGCGTTGATGTTTTCCTTTCGGGAGTCAGGGAGCACGGCTGGACGTGACGTGAGACTCTGTGAGACCGTGAGACGTGAGAAGGCAAGCAAACTCTGGCGCGTTGTTTCGCTCCACTACTGAGCCCTGTTGTAAGCTGTAGAATCCAACGTGAACTTTGGAAAGAGTTTAAAGTTTAAACAAATCAAAACTGCTAACATGTTCAATAACGTTTACTAATGAGGGCTTTGGCTCAAACGCAAACCTACACCAAGGCCCAAACTAACAGGACAGAAAGGAACCGTGATACACATCGCACCAGAACCACAAAGTTAGGTTGTATTCCAGGAAGTTCCAGGGTTCTGCTTCTTGCAAGTTGTCAGAGCTGGACTTTAGCCATGGACGCTGGCGAGGCACCTGATGCAGCCGCAAAGGCTGCAGTTGTTGCGGCAGCACCAGCGGTCGATGCTGCTGAGATGATCACATGCATAGTGTGTTTGCACCTCTTTTGCATGAACGACTTTCCTTCAAAGAAGTCCACGAGATATGCAGGTCACTGCCCCAAATGCAGTCTCCAGCTGCGTGGGATTCTGAATGCCAGCAAGGGAAGTCTGCCTACTACTTCCGCTGCTGATGAAGCTGCTGGTTGTAGTGAGATGTCGGGGGCGGGTGATGACACCTCAAAATACCTACAGAATTTAGCAAAGGAAGATCCTGAAAAGTATAGGCAGATCTTCAAAGAGTATGGAGAGTCGGGATCTGCAGCCGGAAAGCGTGGACGTGGAAACCAGCGTCAGCCTTTCAATCCGCGCACAGTGCCTTTGTCCTTAATGTCATGTTATGAAACTCATTTTTCCTCTATGTTTTTTTGTTGTACTTCTCCTATCATGTTTCCATGGCTGCTGGGACAGATTCGGACAGATAGGGGACGTCGGCCGTCCCTCTTTTCTTAAGTTTCTGCTGGAGAGTTTGGTCAGTGAAGTGTTGATCCAATATCTAATTAGTCATTTTTGGCTTTCGGAGTCGGAGATCTAAGTAAGCCAGGGCCCAGAGCCGCATCATCCCTCATCCCAGGTGCTCTACTCTGAGACGCAAGAGACCATCAAGCGATCAAGATTGGGTTCGGGTTGGGACGCTATGAGGCAGACTGCCTTCATTGAGTGGCACACGCAAAAGCTACCACCTGGTGACCGCCTTACTCCAGAAGAAGCACAACGAGCTTGGATCAGAGATGTGAACCCACAGAACAAAGATACCGACAAGGACATACGGGTCATATGTTTCTGTTTTACTAAACAACAACTTCTATATACTCATCTTGTCTTATCACTGACACGTTTTCATATGATTGGAGTGGGTCCGGAAGTTTGAAGGTTGCCACATCAAATTCCAAAAGAACCATCTGGTTGAAAGTTGACAGTGTGTCACTTCCATGTAAATTTGCAACAAGTGTCTTTCTTGCCAGGAGATGATCGAGATCTACAACCCCAAGACGGGCAAGAATGAGAAACATCAACATGTTTGGGTTCAGACCTCTATCAGCAAATCCAAGGAGCAGATTTTTGATGACAAGCGTTCGGCTTCTGTGGTTGAGCAAAGCAAAGATGCAAATCAAAAAACACTTGCCGCAGCACGACAGCGTGCACTGTCGTTTATATCTATGTCGGCCGATGAGACTTTCTTCAAGGTTCCTGAGAGAGTGCTCAGTCATTTTGCCGTATATAAAGACACATGTCCAAGACTCTAAGACTCTAAGAGTTGTTTGTCTTCCTGTGTTTTCCCATTATTCAGTTCGCTTCTGTTATGTTTAAGATTGTTTAAGTTTAAGTTGAATAGGATTGTATAGATTATGGCTAACTTAGCGGCCTAGTACTGTGATAAAAATAAAAATAAAAGAACAGCTCCTCTGGCAGCAGCACAGGATTGCAGCTTCCTACTTGACTCCAGCGTCGTTGAAGATACGTTGATCTTGGGACCTGAAAATTCTGCAAGTGGCAAACAAAAAAATAGGAAGCGAAGAGAATCGGTCCGAGAGGGCAAGAAAGTGGACATTCCTACACATCGCTTGCGGACTGCTACCAAGCTTCTTCCTCATATCAAGTTTGTTCAGGCAGCCTTCAGGGAGGTCGAAACGAAGTTGGAGAACTTCTATGGTGAGCACCCAGAAATGGCAGAGAAGGCAAAAAACTTGAAGGAACATGGGATTACAGAGGACCGCCTTGTCAATGATTCCTCCTTGGATCTTGGAGACACTGCAGCTTGCATCCGGATCATGTTCACCATCCTGGGTCGACATCTTCTTCTCAAAGTGCTAAGCATTGGATCCAAATGTATGAGTTTGGACGGCTTGACCGATGACCAGAAAGTGGAAGATCGAGCAACAGAGAATGCTCTGGTCATCTTGAAATCGGATGCTTTCCTGCAGGAGAATGCCAATAAAGTCCAGGCATACATTGACTACTGCAGCCCTGAGAAGCTGTACGAGAATCTACCAACCAAGGAGGGCATTGATGAGCAGAACACAGAGCTCATGGAAGCTGTCAAGGCAGTGAAGGCATGCATTGCGGCGGCAAAGCGTTCCATGACAGACTATGCCCAAATGATCAAGTCTACGAAAAAGGCCAGAGAAAAGTACGAGGAGCACATGGCAAAGGCCAACAACCCGAACAGTTCACACGGAGGCCTTCAGGGGCGACCAAACCTACAACAAATGGCCGATTCGGACCCAGAGGTCTTGAAGTGCTTCAAGCAACTCATTTTAAAATTGAACTGGTTTTTGTTTTATGTTTGGTCAGTGAGTCAGTGAGTCAGTCATTACCAACAGTGTATGGGTTAAAGTCAAAGTTAAATATGGGAGATTGGATTTTTATTTGTGGGATGACATGACATGCCACTACAGGCATATGAGCTCCAAGCGCCCCATGGCCGTTGTGAAGGAGATGGATGGAAAACAAGATCCAGGTCTACCTTGCATCATCAGGAAGGGGCGTAACACCCTTGCGACTGTGTGCAAGGATGCTCCTAACAAGCGCTTCATTGACAATGTCATTGACACCTTTCACCAGCAAGTCAAGGCTTCGAAAACCACGCGTATGACGTCACTTGGCTATATGTGCAAAAGGATATGCTTTGTGTTTCAGATTTCAGCGGACAGGATTTTGATTTGTGTGATGTTGAACTATTGAACTCCAATTTGGCATTTGGTTGCACCCACCCAGTTGTTCAAACGACATTCCAATTGTTAGTTCAGTCTCCTGTCTACTGTCTACTGTCCAGGGCTGTGATTCGGTCCACTACCTCTGATGGAGCTGAAGACTCATCTGCCAAGAAAGCCGTTGATGAGATCAAAGATTCCTTGCTACGCATGATGCCGGAGGACGTTTGGAGCGGAGAAGCTGGCTTGTACATTTCTGACGAGATCCTGGAAGAGGAAGTACGCACTGGCCCCTTGGTCAAACTGGTAAAGCTTCAACATCTTTGATCTTGCTTTGTCATCAGTGTCAGGGCTAAAGACTAAAGACTACCATCTGCCATCTGCAAGACTGTCATTGTTCGGATTCGGACCTGTTTTGTTCCCTCACTCTCTCCAGTCCTGTGGTGTAGCAGCACTCGTTTTGGGGAAGTGGCAGGATCGATCGCAGTCCGACAGTCCGACAATAACAATGAGCTGAGGTGGTCACAGCGAAAAGGACATGCTAGGGTGCAAAGAACTTCACGCACTCAGCATTGTCGGCATGCAGCAAGGGACAGTCTACGCCGGCATTGACAACAATTCGGTTGGCAGCATCAGACTGCAGGCCTCCTGGCTTCTACTAAGTTCCCAGACTGCCAGACAAACAGGTTGTGACTGCAAATGTTCAATAGATACAGTATGAACCATTCAAAGATTGGGGTAGTTCCGGGCCGGGTTAGGTATATTTTCCCACTCAGCCACTTGGTGAGAGAAAGAGTCAAAGAGAGAGAGAGAGAGAGTATTGATAGTCAGGGCGCAATTGCCTTGTGTACAGATGCAAATGAGGTGCTGGGGACAAAAATCGTGGTGATGGCCATGGTGGAGGAGTGCATGAGTTTCTTCGAGACCTCCAGCCTTCAAGTCGCAAGGGACAGACTCCAAAGCATGACGTCATCGCAGATTCCAGATCAGCTGAGCAACCCGGCTGGACAAATATATTTGTTTATATATGTTTATATGATTTATATGTGTTTCCTTTACCTTCTTACATCTTGAAGTTTGGACCCACCAACAAACAAACCAAGCAAAAACACAAGCCAGCCAAGCAAATCAAACAAAGACTCACTGACAGGTATGCAAACCCTTGTTGCTGGCTTTGTCAAGACTGGAGACCTCTGGTACATTCCGAGCGGGTACCTGTTGGTGGAGAAGTCGCTGACTGATTCCTCCATTGCTGTGAGGACATTGTTGGGGCGCGACCGCGGCGGTGCTGATGCTGTGTGTGTAGGGGTGTGTGTGTGTGTGTGTCCTTAGTTCAGGGCAGGGTTTAGGATATATTGGTGTAAAGACATAAGATAGATAGGAGAAACAGTATATTTGTTTGGAGAAAGCCTGTGGAGCGTGGACATCCTCCACACACCTCGGGTTGTCAGCTGTCAGAGTCAGAGTCAGGAGAAACGTTTGTTTCTTCACTGACGATCTACACAGAAGCTTCCAGATCGTTGCTGCGCAGGTGACGGGACGAAATCACAGTTGTAGACTATACACTGAACATCATCCAAATCATTTCCATTGTGTTTTGAGTTCTTTTTTACACTATTGGACTATTTGGCTATACTATATACTACTTATATCACTGGACGATAGACTGAACCTGGCAATGGCATTACCTTAAGTTTGTTGCACTGTTGGGCTGGGTGGATTCGGGATCCTGAACCATCAACCCTATTGAGGTGGCTTCCAACCCAGTGCTGGACTTGGTCTTGAATTCTTTGCCGGATGAAGAGGTTCTGCCACCGACCAAAGAGCAAACAGTCACGGTCTCTCGAAATATGGCGATGGCTGTGCCTACGCCGCCGAATGAGCCTGAGTTTGAGCATGGGGCTAGCCAATCAGTCTTTTGGGATGAAGAGTCGTTGCCAGTGAAGTTGGGACAGTTGGGACCTGTTGTTGATGGCTCTGACGGCTCTGACTCCAAGAATGACAAGGCTCAGGCTGATGAGAACAAGAACTTGGTGCCGGTGCCGGCTCAGCCTCAGTCTCAGGAGGTTCAGGTCGCGGCAGAGTTGACAGAGGGCCAAGGTGAAACGGCAGCTTCCAAAACGGACATTGCAGAAACGGAGGCGGCGGACGCAGCAGCGGAGGCAGAGTCAAAGGGAGACCAGATCAGCAGCATCTTGAATGATGGGGGTGGAGCAGGAGCACCTGAGGCACCTGAATCACCTGAAGCACCAGCGGCGTCATCATCTCAGTTGGCAGCCGCAGCAGAGGCACCCAAGGAGACGGCACCAGAGACTATGCCCACTCTGGCTCTGACGCCGACGCCAACGGAAGAAGAGAAACCAAAGGAGTCAGAGGTGCCGTCGGAACCCGCAGAAGAAGTACCAGAAGGTGAAGTGGCTGCTCGTGAGGCTGAGGCTGCGGCTGAGGAGGAGGAGGCGATCAAGGGTGGGAACTCCAAGGTTGAAAAGAGAAAGGGTGTGGCATCAGCTGAGAAGAAGGCTGCTCCCAAAAAAGCAGCCGCAGCAAAGAAAGCATCAGCAAAGGCAAAAGCACCAGGCAACAAGGACGCGGAGGCGGCAAATAGAAAGAGAAAGGGCAGCGGCAAGTCTGAGGCGATCGCAAAGACCGCCAAGATTGGCACGTTTTTCAATCACCAGTAGAAGTAGGTTAAGTGCCAGGTCAGCTGAACTGCTGAACAATACTACTTTTGCAAACTTGAAGTTACAGGGGTCACTGTGGTGAAAAAGATGGAGCGCCCTCTGATTCTGTGAATCTTTTGCTGCACATAATACGTGAAACTTAACACACAAAAGAAACACACAACCTATACACATTGATGGGATATGTTGAAGCCATTTCCCGTTTCCAAGGTTTTTTTGTTGTTAGTTGTTGCATGCGTCGTTGAACTTGCCCATGGCTTCGGTTTCAGAACGAATCCTCCAAGCTGATGTGGTGAGTCGTGTGATGGGTCCCTTGACACTGATCTTTGCTGTCATTTCATTTGTTCAAAACCTTTTGTTTATATCTTTGTTTAAGGGAACCTGTTTTAGTACTTAATAGTAACAAATTTTGAGGCATTGATTGGCCTCATGGATGCTTTGTTGCCGGTGCTTACCTGTATTTCATCGAGGGTGATGACCAGAGTGACTTTGAGCCCTGCGATGATTCAGATGAAATGATGGAGCTAATTCGATGGCTTTACATGCACAATGCCCTCAATATCGGCAACAATGATGTGATTGTTCAAGAGGAGCTGCGCTTTTTGGTGATCAAAGAAGAAACTGCAGAAAAGGGTGGCCAGTGGAATTCAACGATTACATATTTTGATGTTAGGGAACAGCAACAAAAGGTTGCACATTTTCGTTTATGCGGTTCGCCTGACCGCCGCTGACCGTCATCATGGGCCTTCATGGTCATGATGTACAGTTCTTCTAGTACTAGGAAGTGAAACTATCCTCCAAAAAGTTTAGGCGAGTATGAACTATGAACGATGTTTCTTTAGTGGTGCGGTTATGGCTCTGATGATGAGTGGCGAGGACTCCTCGCAAGGGCTTACTTTACTGACCTTGCAAAGCTTTTGAGGAAAACAAAGTGAACTCTGGGGTCTGGGGATGCTGCGCACATCTGAGAGAACCAATTTTACTCTCACAAGTGTGTCCATTCCCGCTCCCAAAGTACAAAAACACTTCTTTCATTTGTCACTGCAAACCAACATCATAACACTTCTTTGCTCCAAATCGCAAGTGCACAAGAAATTTAACACTGGCGATCTGGCCACGACCCGATGCATGTGCTGTAAAGCAGGCAAAAGAGGTCGTTCTGCCAAGAGATCCCACTGAGTCTCGCACAGTCTTTCCATATTGCTTGGGTCGAACACTGTCATGGTCAAAGGCATGTAGGTATCAGCGAAATTACATGTCAAAAATAATTTGAGCGGGCCGAAGGTCATGTCCATCGCATGTCCGAAATGGCGTAGTTTCATTTTGTTCCCTTCTGTCAATGGGACTACAGCAGTGCTGGTCAGCAGATGCTTCAGCGCTTTCATGGCTGGTCCATCCCTGTTGCCAGCACTCGCATAAGCCTGACCCAGCGTGGAATATCGTTGCAGAGCCTGGAAATCCTCGGCCTTTGCCTTTGCGATTGCTTGCAGGTCTAACTGAAAAGACTTGTGACTGAGAAACGTCATTTTTGTAGCGAGAAGCAAGCTTTGACGTCGCACGGTATCCGCAAACATGGCTGTCACCTCCGCGTTGTCCCACCTGGACGTTGGCCGCGCCGCATATGGAACGGCGTCTGTTGCAAGGTGATATTCCAACTCTTCTCTTTTCAAAAGACATGCCATGAGCGCTCTTGGCGCAATCCGCACAGGTCTGCATTGATCAAAAGGTAAGCAATCTCCGAAGAAAAATTCCGTGAAAGCCAAACACCAAGACTCGGGAAGGAACATGGACAGGAGCTGTCCCGCTCGCACTTCCAACACATTGGCATCCGGCGTCCGCGGTCCTTCCAGAAGTTGCAGTTCCGCTTCAATGCTCTGTTCATGTCTGTCGGCCAATCTACGACACACTTCCCGCAGTTCTAAAGCGTGTCCTCGACAGGCTTCTCGAGCCGCAGTCAGTTCCATGCCAGCAACCACTTGAGCATCACCTTGTGCGGCCTCTGCCTTCTCTTCCTTCCTCTGAATGCGAGCTTGGTCCTCCTGTATACGTCGAATTTGCTCCTGTAGGACGACGTAATGCTGCAGAGGATCGTTGTCCGCGGCCTCATCAAGTCCAATGAGGTTCTCTGCTTCTTCCACCGGAGCTTTCCCCGCTTCTCCTTGCGCAGCCGCACAGGACTCTTCACCCTCTGCCTCTGCATCCAACTTTTCCGGCTCTTCATCCAACAAGTCAGCTTCTACAATTTCATCTTCCCGCGACCTCGCTGCCGTGTCCGCTGCTCGCGAGCTAGCCGGACCTGTCAAATTCGGTCGAAACATGTTGGCTTCCTCCATGCGCACAGCAGCAGATACAATTCCCGGGGGCGCCTCATCCTCCTTCAGGTCAACCTGTGCTCGTGCTACATCGATTTCCACCTCATGAAACAACGGACAAAGCTGTTGTCGAAGAAGAGCGCATTCGAGGTAAAGGGAACGTGGCACCAACAGTGGTTTCGCTCTGGCTACGTCGGTGCGGGATACAGAAAAAATAACCTGCAAGTGTTGACCCACGTCCTCCATGCAAGGCGGCAAGGACTTCCCCACGGCTGAAGTTCGCGGCTGCGCTATGAAAGTGGTATTGCCTTGCAAGCCATGTTGCAACTCACACGCATCTCTTCCATGCTTGTGGTTCAACACCACCTTCCTGTAAAGTACCCGAGCTTGTCCAAGAAGCATCCGTGCAGCCGGCAAGTCCCGAAGCTTCTGGTAAAGCGGATGCTCGCGGCCTCCCCACAGGTCATTGGCAAGCGCTCGCTTGGGAAGCGTGGGTTTCCGGTGACACAAGCTGTGACAACACCACCGACAAAGGAACACCGTGCCGTTACTGTCCCCGATGCCAGCGCAAGGCGGATGCCCTTCCACAGCTGTATCCCGGGAACCAGCCTCGCGCGCAACCGCAGCTTCACCTTCCGCGTGCGCATCCGCGACGCTAGCCTCTGCGCGCGCAACCGCAGACTCTGCCTTTTTCCGCAAAGGTACCCTGCGTGTGTGCAACAGCCACCGGTAGCCAGGGCGATCCGGATGTTGCACCGAACTTGCGTGTAGTTCGGCAACTGGAATCTTCGGCCACCGCTCTGCGTATTTGTCCACTCCCAAAAGCTGTTGAATTTCTTCGGCTGGTCCAAAATAATACAGACCGCGCTTATCTCGAAGCAAGTTGCTCCGCCGACGACCCGCCTGCTCATCTGCCGAACCAGCTTGAGCCTCAGCTGCTTCCTCCTCGTCCATCTCCTCCCGCACCTCTTTCCCCACAGGCAAAGTGCGAAACATGTCGCACCGGCGCATCCGCTCGGTCCATTCCTTCGTTGCGCACACAGCGCATCCCACCATGGCACGAGGTTCGCGCTCGGGGGCTCGAGGCTCTGCAGTTCTCACTGCTGCTGAAACAGACTCATCCCCTAACGGTTGGCTGGCTACGCTGACCAGTTGGGCGGTTGCGTTTCCAAGGATGCGTCTTTTGCGGGCCCAAGACATGGGCAAACCATGACAAGGAGCAGCTTCCTCATGCTGCGCATGCCAAAAGACGCGCTTACGGTACTCTGCCCAGTTCACATGCGCCTGGTCCACATGCGCAGACAGATCTGTCCAATTCACAAATCCATCTCCACACAGTTCACACACTCGAGGAGCTGTCAAAATAGGCAACAACCCTTTTGGCAACTCTGCTCCACCTGCCACACCATACATGGACTCTGCATCGGTTTTGAAAAACGGTGGGAAAGCATAGGTATCCATTCGAGTTGACAATACATACTGGGCAGGCGGACTTTTGAACAGACCACGGCTTTCCGAGACCCATTCCTCTACCTTTGCCTTTCTTTGATCCCGATGCTGCAATATGCCAAACCAGCCCACCCACACCATAGCAGTACCCAAAGATGCCTCCGTCCACAGATCCCGAAGGTCATGCTTCGTCAGAAATGTATCAAAGTCTTGCGCAAGGGCATGTAGTTGCTCCGGCTCTTTCACACCCCAGGCACTCTGAAACCAGGCCGGTTGGTCAGGCATGCTGCATTGCGCATCTTTCAAAGCTGCGACCAACAAATCAAAACTCTCCACTGGTTTGCGGCCATCTACGTCACCTCGCAGCGCCATGATCTCCGCCACCAAAGGTCCATCCAAAAGTGGCAATGCCTCTCGCCGCGCAACCGCAGATGCATTCTGCAACTCCATGGCTGCCATGCGTCGAAGCACGTGCTGTCCATCCCAGTTGGACGGGATGTGCACATCGCGAAAGTCTTTCGCAAAGGGCGTGGCTGTTCTGTGTAAGGGATCCTTCAAAGTGCACACAAAGGCATCCAGACTCTGGGGAGTCCGCATGTTCACCACTGCACAGGCACTCCAACATTGCGGATCAAGCTGCAAATGGCTTCGGAAACGCTCCACAGCTCCTCGGTGTGCCTCTCGCGTGGCAAACTCCGGCTCCGGGCGGACAACCCGACCAGCATGCTTCCTGTGTGCCTTGCAACCGGCCACTAACATAGAAGGAACCTGCTCTTTCTTCGTCACTGTCCCACTGTGCAACCCTTCCAACAATTGGCTGAGCTCGACAGGCGCCACAGACAAAGCCTGTCTCTTGCCCACTGCGCGCTTGAGAGGCACAGCACGATTGCACTGCAGCAACGCCACGGCCTCCGCGAGACTGGTTGGCCCCCGGTCGGGTGGCCCAGACAAGGATGCAGCACGCCCATCGGGAGTGTGTTCGCATTCTTTCAAAAAACGTATACATACACCCATCAGTTCTGACTTTGCTGCATCGACCGAGCGCTCGGTACCTCTACCGGCAACGCGCCGCGCCACGCCCCAATCACGGAAAACAGCCCTGCATCTTGATTGGCTGGTCTCACCAGGCCCCAAAACAAGCAAGAGTTCTTTGATCCTTCCAGCTTCCTGCGCTGCCACAAAAACGTCACCAAAGGAACGAAGCTCAACGTGCGTCTCCAACGATGCATATTGGAGCAACGCTTGAAACTTCACGGGTGGCAACAAATTCAAAAGCTTTGTCTTGACGAGTTCCCGGAGTTCCTCCTGGTTCAAACGCATTCCATTTCGTTTTCCACGGATATCTGCAGTCTGGCAGGCTTCACGAAGGCCCTTTGTGTTGGAATTGAGACCCTGCAACAAGGCCTTGCACTGTGCAACCACAAGCGCATCAGTGACAACGCACGACCCCAGATGCTCCAAGTCACTACGCACAGACGCGGATACAGCACCCAGTAAAACTGCGAAGGTGACGGCGGCCATGGCTGGCCAGGTGGTTTGTCCTAATATCTATAAAAGTGGTGGCGGTGGAGGTAGTGGTGCTGGTCATGGTACTGGTGGTGGTGAAGGTGGCGCTGACGGTGGTGGTCGAGCCAACAACTTCCAAAACGGCAAGTTCATTGAGATTCAAAACCCTTCAAGAACATCTGCACATCGAGATTCACGAGCACACATATGAGAGCATATGGGAGCACATATGAGAGCACATGAGAGCACACATCTGAGAGCACAAATGTGAGAGCACATACAAGCACCACTCTGAGAGCACACAGGCAAGTACATAGGAGCATTTCGAAGCTCACAATGTACCGCGCCTGCCACGAAATCTGCACATCGAGGTTCACAAAGTACTGCGCCTGCCACGAACTCTGCACATCGAGGTTCACAAAGTACTGCGCCTGCCACGCACTCTGCACATCCAGCTTCACAAAGTGCTGCGCCTGCCACGAGATCTGCACATCGAGATTCACAAAGTGCTGCGCCTGCCACGAAATCTGCACATCGAGATTCACAAAGTGCTGCGCCTGCCACGAAATCTGCACATCGAGATTCACAAAGTGCTGCGCCTGCCACGCACTCTGCACATCGAGATTCACAAAGTGCTGCGCCTGCCACGAATCTGCACATCGAGATTCACAAAGTGCTGCGCCTGCCACGAAATCTGCACATTGGAGATCCAAAATGAGCAAATTGCACGAGGCTTTCGCAAATTTTGACATGCGTTTCAGAAATGCTGTGCCTGCCACGAAATCATGCCTGCAGGTCATACGAAATGCTGCACTGGCCACGCAAAATCATCCTCAAGGTCCAAGTCCAAAAATGCAACCCCTCTCACGAATTCAGCCCTTTCACCTCAAAATATCGCATCCATGGTGCGGATTCCCTGCGCCTGCCACGTGAAACGCAGTCCTGCGAATGACACACGCCTGCCAACGTTTTTGCAACGTCCACAAAACACTGCGCCTGCCACGAAATTTGCAAAGTCTCCGATTCCTTGCACCTGCCACGTAAAATGACCTTTTCGATGCTCCAATGTGTCGAATTCCTTGCGCCTGCCACGCGAAATTCACTTTAGCTCCGAAAACGAGCACGGCACCTGCACGAGAGCAACGCCCCGGAAGCACGAAGACCGCGGCCCCCAATTTATGCGAGCCTGCGCAGTCGAAATGGACATGAGGAATTCAAAAAGTAACTTTTGTGCGAGCCGGCCCACGCAAAATGCCGCAGCCACAAACGCGAACCCTCATCTAACCCTGCTTAACTCTCACCGTAAGAACCCCTTAGTGCGGAGCACTATTTGGGGAACTTGTGCCAAAAGGCTACCACAAAAAGGGAACGGTCTAACGCATACACGCCCACATGCGTCATCATGCGTCAGAATAGGGTCCCCCAAGCCTTATATGGGTATATAGAAATAGGTGCATAATTACTTCACTGATATATATACACCTTGTTCAGACTAGATGGCTATATCCGGAAACGAATCGATGGCACCAGAAAGTGCCAAAAGCGCACGCGGCAAACCGTGGAAAACAAGATATATACCTATGCATCCTCAAGCATAATAGATGGCATTCCACCCATTCACAGAGTAGACTTGCGCCATCTTCTGCAAAGAACACTGATATAAGTCGTTGATTTTTGTAGACAACCTCTCTGTTAAATTCCAACTGTTTTTCATGTTCTTCTCTTTGAACTGTCTTTCTCTCTCCTTCTTTCATATTCTATCTCTCTCTCTCTCTCTCCTTCTCTTCCTTTCTCCTTTGCTATCCATTCCTTAATGTCTCCTTTCCCTCTCCTTGGATGCCTTTCTCTTCTTTCCTTTCCTTCATTCACTTCGCCTTTCTCTATCCTTCCCTTGCCTTTCCCTTCACCTTTCCCTTTCCTTGCACTTGCACTTGAAACAGTAACAGAACGCTGCACGATAATAGCCCCGTAGATGGCACAACACTTGTGTGAAACATGATTAGGATAGTTGAGCCAATAGATACTGCCAAGTAGATGGCGCAGCTTGCTGCTTTCAGGGCCAAAAATTTTATGGCGTTCTTTCACGAAACGGATTGTAAAAGTAGATGGCGCCGAACCAATCCCCGAGTAGTACTTTCCCATTCCTTGTCACGATTTTTGCCTAGGATGGCTTGCGCCGTCTGCATCTGGGTTTTTTTGTTCCAGAGGCGTTTTCCCCTACACAATACATGCCTCATTACAAAAACCTGAGCCAAGTTTTCTGACTACAGAGTCTATATATAAGAACAATTGAATTGATCTATTGCGTTGCGCATAGGCGGAATTCTGTCCTGTTTTCCAGCTTCGCGGCTGAAACGTGGAATGCTCACTGCAACTGTCTGCACCTGCTACACTCCTCTTGAAAAGGGGTCGGCGGCACCCGGGCGAAGCCCTTACAATAACATCTGGTTAAAAGTTTAGGCCAGGCTCGTTAGGGCAAAACTGACTGGTGCGACTCATCCTTCCCGACGAATGGAGTCGCACCGAATTCGCGGACCCGAAAAGCGTTCAGCCGGGCATTCCCTTCGCCACAAAGCCACGCCCAGGTCCTTCCGCCGTGGCAGAAAGGCCTGGTGCCTGAGTCGAGCTGAGAGAGAAGGGGGGCCCTTGGGAAGAGAGCGGGGTCGAGGGCATTGCTTCAAACGATCAGTCGAGGACCGAATGAGTCTAGGGATGTAGAATGAGTGTTGATCCGTCCATTCCTTTGAATCTCCCAACTTTGCCAGCGGAAAAAAAAGAACACATGAGGACCTGCAAGTTGTTACATCTTGTTACCGTCTAGGTGGGCCAGTCAAGGTTGATGTACCATGGGCCTAGTGGATCAGCTATCTCAAACACAGCTCTGACAACTGCGGGACTCCTTCCTCTCGGAAGCACCATCCCAAAGGCTCGACACAGCGCAACACAAAATCCTTGCTTCCATCGCGCATATCTGCTTAGTCTGGATCTCACTCTTAAGCATGGAGTTGCTTCAGAGCTATAAGCCCAAAAGCATTCCCTCATCCCCTAGGTTCCTCGGTTTCCGGCAGCTCCTCTCGCGTGAGGACGCCCTTGGAGGTGGCTGAGGTGGCCGCCGCAGAAAAAAACACGCCGGTGCTTCTGCCCTTGATAAGTGGAGCGCCAGTCTGTTTGTCTTGGACATCTCAGATCGAGAGTTGTTCTGGAAAACGGGTCGCTACAGTACGATAGATGTCGCCACAGTACGATGAGACTAATAAAAACACGTCATGCATGTACCCCGCTCAACTCTTGCACTCAACAAACTTATGATCTCAGCAGTAACCATGAACCATGCCCTCTTAGTAAATCTTAGTAACAGCTAGCAGCTTGGCCTCCAACCTACTAGCTTGGCCGAGTTGTGTGCCCTGAGACTCTGACATCCTTATTGCCATCGGCCATCTTCATCACTTCTCTCGCCTCACCAAGGCCGTGCGAAGCTCCGAGCTCCGGCCTACCGCCTACGGCATCTGAGAAAACGGCGGCGGTCCGCGTGGCTGTCCGCGGTGTGGACACGGTTGCAAGGCAGCTGTGCTGAATTCCCGGGGGGGGCTTTTTTGGGGGTGCATATACAAGACTGTCAAACATGAATCTCTCATAATCCATCTGCCGGGGTAGGACTGGATCACCATGTGAAACATCCTTGCAAAGCTGGAATTTCATGGTGTTGCGAAAGAACTGGGCATTCTTGCCAAGCCATGAGCAACTCTCGCCTTCCAAGTTTCTCCTTTGCAGAACACCGTGAAGCATCATAGCTTGGTCACATGTGGTCACCTATCCCTTGATTCCCTTGCAAGGTTCTTCGACACAGACACACACACACACCACCTGAGCGGTCATCTGCTCCTGGTCGGGAGCCGCCAGAAACCTGCCGGGACGGCAACGGACGGGGGAGGAGATGTCACCACCGTCGTCCCATCCCCAAGCCTTGAGAAGAGGACGTGTCACCAAAACACCGGCTGAAAAGGAAGGCGCCATGTGCGTTTGTTCATCTGTCGATGCGACTGGTTGAGTGAAGCAAACCACTGGGCAAAGACTGGGCAGAGACTTGGGCCAAAGGAAGGTAGAGGAAGCGAAGCGACTAGCGTCACAGGACTCAAGAAGTGGAGACAAACAGTTGACTTGCTGCGTTGAACTCGCTACATCCACCAATTATGGGACTCTCTCCCTCCCCTCTCTCTCTCTCTCTCTCTTTATCGATATCAATGCGGGAAACACCATAGTATACCAAGAGTCGAAGATTGCACGAAGGTGCTGTGCCCAAGAGTCGAAGGCAGCAACTCCGTCGAAGAGTCGACGACCCAGTCCCCACCGCCGAGAGGCCCGCTTCGCCGCCGCTCGGCCTCTTGGGCTCTTGTAGCAAGGTGGCATAGGACTCGATCTTTTCGAGGCATGGCTCCCCTGGAGGCAGAAAAAAACAGGCGGTGGCGTTGTAGCACGGTTCTACTCACTCACCAAAGCTGGTATCACTCGGTCACTGGGCATTACTCCATAATAAAACATATCTGGGCAAGGACACAATTGAAAGGTTTCAAGGGGTTCCGAACTTGGTTGTACCGACATATTATATATATATATTATATAAATAAGTAGTTTATACCATAAACTTGCTTCTTTCCCCGCCAAAAAGTGCCATTGAACCTCATTGATAAATCATGTCTTGTGACTTGTGAGCGTGTAAGCCCCTGCCCCGCTCAGCAACACACACGCTCACACTTATACCTGCAGCATCCTACAGCCATCAGCAGCTCTCCCTCTCCCAAACCCTATTACCTCCCCTACCCCACCCCCCCACCACACCGACCCACACGCGCCTAAGCCATAGTGTGCCATGGAGAAGCGACCTTGCGCCCGACCGATCCACGACCGCAGGGGGAACTTCCGCCTCCTCAATGAATCAAGCAATCAAGGCATAGCAAGGCACGTTTTTTTGAGGCCATAGATGTTTCTGTACTGCCAAGGCTTGGATGTGCTTGGTGTGTGTGTGACCTGGAAACTGGCTGGATGCCAATGGCTCACAGTGACTCGGGTGAATACGTCTTTATCTTGGTGCGACGAAGGAAAACGATAAGAATGACCAATGTGTTCCGAACAACTGATCCACATATATGCTCTTTCCGCGTCCATCCTAACTTCATGGCGCATCATATAGAAGTCTACAAAAGATTGTTGATAAAAACATGAGTGTGCAATCAATTTTCTTGGACATGTTCGCTTGCTTGTCCGCTCAAGAAGCAAGAAAGCCGCCTCTCCCCCGTAAGCCGCTATCGCTGTGCGTTTGTTGAGTACATGGCACTGGCACCCCATGAGGTCCTTGTCCGATGGGGTTCCAAATAGCGCATCTTGGGGTCTGTGCCATCGAACCTCTCAATAAACATCAACCCCGCTGCCAAGATGCTCATGAAGGCTCGGTACAGGTTCACTTGTCTGGGATGGTTGAACCTCAGGTGCTGCTCGCGAAGCCGTGCGCATGGGGTTGGGACGGACTTGGGGGCTCTGCAGGGCCCCACGCATGGGGCCAGGTGTGCGTGGCTCCGGGCCGGAGCCACCGTGGCTGCTCCGATCGGATGAGGGCCAAGTCGGACCAGTGCAGGTCGGGATCTGCGAAATCTGAACGAGGCAGGATCCACTAAAGGGTGTTCTTAAAGACCTGTTCATGGACAGTCCCATAGTTTGAGGTTATCATAATCTCTTCCGATTGAAATGGACCGAGTCTGGTCAACTGCTCCTCTGCCGCATCAAACTAACATCAAAATAACGAAAGCGCCCGTCTCACCTAAGTGCCTCTGCTGGTAGGTGGAGGCCGTGTAGCACTTCTGGTCGTTCCCATCGGGATCCACAAAGGTCTCCTAGGAGCAAGATTGTAAAACATAGATTTAAAACACCCTGTACTATCATATTATATCGATCCAATAGTTTATAGTATATATATATATAGAATACAACATATTGAATAACATATCATTTTAAACCTTATATAACTATATAATACTATGTGTATATATATATATGAATGGGAGTCTATGCTCTCGTGGCTCCTTGCCATAATCTAGTCATCTTCTCAAACGACTGGGCTCCCGGCATGGAGATAACCCGTTGGAAACACAAAGCACCTGAGCAGCTTCATCTCACCCCAAATGGATCTAATCTTCGCGAATTCTCTGTGCCAAATGGAAACCTGGGCTAATTCAAAGGTCCCTTTGTGTTGCTCTCCCCGTGTCTTTTAACCAACTCCAGTTCGGTCCGACCAGTTCGGCTCTCGGCCGAGGTCGAAGGCCGCTGCTACCCACGGCCCAAGGACCCGCCAACCGTCCGCAGCTTCCGATCGGAATGACACACCGCACACGGACGTCCGACACACGGACCGGACGGGGGGGAATTTTTTAGTTGTACACGGCAAAAACTCTCCTTTGAGGCTCGTTGAGTTAAGACTTTGCGATGGCCTGCTTTGTGTTGGTCTTGCAGGGGCAGGTATTTCATGGTATTTCGCACCTCCCCACTTGTTCCACAGCTCCATACATCTTTCACTCACATGCGGGCTCTTCACCAATACTAACATGTGCGCCAGCCTGTGCACACCTGTCATGATACCGAAATGGAACACATAACACATTCCCGAGGGCTCCAAGTACCTTCTCAGAAGGCTTTTGGACCCTCCAAACCCACTCCAGTTCCACCTTCTCAGAAGGTACTTGGAGCCCTAGGGATTGGAACATGCAAACCATGCCCCATTCGCCCCGAACCTCCTCCACCCTGCCATGTCTGAGCGCTAAGTGACTGCCCCGGGCCGACGGTGAACTCCGTCTCCTGGCTCAGCCGAAGGCATCGGTGGTGACCCCCCCCAAAAAACGATATATATATATATATATAACACAAAAAACTACAAAGTAACTATCTGTTCATATATTAGTATTCAATACTATATCTATTCATATCTATTCATTATCTAATACAGCCTAGTCGAACGTCACGCGTTCGCCGCCGAACGTCGGCTCCGTTCCGGGTCGCCCGGGCCGGCGTCCACGGCACATGCTGCCGATGTCCGTAGATCTGTTCATCTCCAAAGGCCGTGGCCTGGAGTCCATGTCCGCAGTGTTTTGGCTTCCAAGAGACGTGACTCTGAAAGAGAACCAGGAGGGGGACCCTACTGGAATATTGAACTGGGATTTTTTGAACTAGGGTCCTTCAACCTCTGTCGCTTTGTTTCTGTTTTAATGGATTGTTTGGATAACAAATAAACATCCGCTAGTTTTGGAGCCAGGCTGATGGTACTTTCGCCGTGCTCAAAATGGATTGAACTTAAACCAACAAAATGGGTTTCAAACCGGTTGATGTTGGGATTCTGGATTCGCAGCCAAACTCCAAAGATTTTGTGGTCCTGAACCTTGATTCATGATTAGGAAAGGTAAATCGGCCCCCGAATAGAACATACTCTCCATGGCACCCCATGTGGAAAATGAACAATCACCCGGGCAAAACCATTTTGGACATCCAGCAGACCTACAGGAAAAGCACTGGAGATCTGCTTGCCGGGCTGAATTGATGTCTGAAAGAAGAAAACCAAGTCCTTCCGATGGATCACTCACAGTGACTATAATATAAATAAATATATATATTCATTGCTATTACTACTGTATTGTTATTATTGTCATTAGTTATCGTGATTCAAGGACCCCGTCCCAAACTCTGAAACCAGTGATCTTTCAATCTGTTTGCAGTTTTCCGGATCGAAACGTTTGGGTGACCGTGTTTCGGAACACCTCAGCAGCTCCGCAAGGAACCCACCTGTCAGTGACCTCTTCGCTCCCCAGGTCCGCGCGGCCAAGCTGCGTTGAAGTGATGTCGGATCTCCGGAAAGGCCTGGATCCGCCAGCGCCTGGATCCGTCCCGTCGTGTTCGACAGGGGTTTCAGAATGGTGCATCGCGTTCCAAAGAAATCCAATAGAATTGAAACAGATTCTCCATGTGGGAGCATGTGAGTACATGTTAACTCGTCTTTCTCTTGACCAAGTGGTAATGTCTTAGCATCACGAACGGCGCCAGGATCCAATTGCTCGAGTCTGCCTCCGAACGCCGTGGAAGACGAACTCGCCCTACTGAACTGGAGGAGTCGCGGTTCTGTCGGTCTATCATGAAGAGTCTTCCAATGAAATTCATGTTCAGAGTGGTTGCAATAAGCTTTGTTTTCACCATTTTCATGTACGCCTGGTGGTGAGTTTTTCCGAAGGCCTCTTGCTGGGTTTGTAGATTTGAAGAGCATCCGTAACCCAAAATGAAAAAGGCATCCGTAACAACGTCCGGTTCCTTCAGCACCCTGCGATCTGACTGCCAGTCAGAGCCAGTCAGAGCGGGTGCCGATCTCCACCGGGCGGCTTCTTCCCCTTGAACTGCATGGAGATGGTGGTCTCACAATAGGAGTCCGCCTCGGACACAACACAGTGCCAACGAAGAGCTGGTTGCCGATGAAGAGATTCATTTTACATCTTCTTAATAGTTGGACTTACTGTGGCCATGGGCGGGAGACATGTTACGCTGCTCTATTGCTTCTCTGATCATTGATGATGGCAATGATTTGCAATGGGAAAAGGAGAATAGGAACAGCTGGGCAAAGCTCAGCTTCAGATCCGAAAAAAGGGAATCCACGTGATGACCCTATCTGCTCAGCTGCTAACCCACCTTCCTTTCCAACGAGAAGTTGGAAGAACTCCAAAACATACGGTCAAATGGTGGTCTGGATTTGGGAACGTTTGTAAGGAGGTCTTGCAGTCCATCCTCCTCTCTCGGCACGCAGTTTTTCTCCTTCACGCACGGGTGGCGTGCAAAGATGTGCAAAGCGTTCACAAAATATACCAAAGGACGATTCGCATAACCTTTCTGCAAGGCACTTTCACATCAAATATGTGGTCTAGGCTATAGGACTTGCTCGGCACAGTTGAAGGGAGATTGAGGCATGTCAATTGAATATTTCATGGGATTGGTGCTTTTGCTCTCGGCTATATGCGCATGTGTGGGGCCCTCCAATTGCTGTGGGGGGGGGAACGATAACCTTCGAACATCTTGGATCGCCTAGGATCGAGGCTTGCCAACTGGTTGCCGTTTCCTGCGCCAGGCTCTAAAAGCAGGTAAAAACATGATGTTGGCATCGCATGCAAACCTATCCCACAAACACACATGTGAAGCGGCTACACCCAAGACAAAGGTCAGCTCATATAGAGCAAACACACATCAACTGTCATAAACTCATAAACAAATCTTTGCAGCTAAAACATGCTTAAACCATGCTCCCGAAAGCAACCGCAACTGCGTGAAAATCATGATTTCTGCTGCGATACGTTGCGCAACGAAAACTTGAGTTTCCCTTACCTACCTACCTGCCTGCCTGCCTATACCTACCTACCATGGAATAGCAACTGTTGAAGTCATTGGAACATCTTGAAACTGAAGGTCCTTAAATCAATATCTACTCAGCTCGAACCCAACAACATCTTTGCCCTTGCTGAATTTTGCGACTCGCCCAGAGAAAACACGAGCCAAACCTTGGACCCGTCTGTTTTAGCGCAGCGTTCATTGGCGGTGGGCAGCGCGTCTGAAGTGACGGACGCAAGACCAGTGACGGGTCTTGATCTTGGTACGAAGAACCTCCGGCATGAAGAACCTCAACACACGGGGTTTTGAAATATGCTTCCTGTCTGCCACTCGGCTAGCTAGATTCAGGGCACAGTGCATCCAAGAATTAGATGTACATGATGTATCAACACCCACCGTTTAACATACATCCTGTGCACTTGGTCCAGCAAGGTCACTCCTGACATATGAACAATCTCAAACTTGAAGGCTGCATCCAAAACCATAAAACACACTGACTGTTACAAACAGGTCACTCTACGATTTAGCAGGATGCACAACTTATCGCAGGGAGCGGAACTGGGATGAACAGACTTGGTTCCAACTGTTGACTCCAGGATTGCAGGCATGACCGGCGGGGTCATCAGTCCGTGCTGCCCAGTCATTCATGACACTCCCCGGTGCCGTGGAACATCAGCAACAAGCAAACAAGGGTAGTAGCAGCTGCGCGATCAGCTGCGCGATCAGCACATTGTGATATCGGACGGAGTGTGTTGGATCAGGGTTCTTGAATCTGTTTGAACAACCATGCAACAGGAATAGCAACTTTGGGTGTGGTTGGACGAGAGGGTACAAACTTTCGGACAAGGTGTTCTGACAGCGCGGCAGGTCCCTTCGAAATGTACAATTTCTACTGGTATCATCTGGCAACTGAAATCCCCCTTGATGTGTCCCCTTGGGTCCACCCCAGACGATTGAGAAGTGTCGACGATCCAATGTATGTAAAGCGTTTGCTAAAGTTGAAATTTTGTTTGGCGGTTCTGATCATTTTGATGTAGCATCCGACAAAGTCCTGTCATGTTGGACGGTCGATGTGTTTCTCTTGAAAGTTGTTCAATTGCTAATAGAGTATCATATACTCCCAGGACCTTCCCAGTGACCTTTTTGGAGTCCCTAAGTTGCCTTTTACAAGCCTAAGTGACCTCAAACCAGGGGATCAAAAGGTCACTGGGAAGATCCAGGTCAAAATAATTCACTGGGTTTCTGCTGGTGTCGCAAGGGAACTGCAGTTTTTGCGCACGCTTTGCAATGAAGGTTTGTGTGTCTGCAAAAGTCAATGAACTGCCATCAAACAAATTCAGAACGGGTGCCCCCTGGGAGATGTTTTTCGTATAAAAGTGTACAAAAACACTGTCATAAAGTGGTTCCACGCTGAAACAACACAAAAACCATCAAAAACCTAGGTGTTGAGCTATTGTTTGTGATTCAATTTGTTCAAATTAGGCCTACAAAGGTAAGGTTGTTTCGAGGGAATACCAAAACAAAACGATAATTACAAGAAAACAACACATAGGAGGGCACTGGCCAAGGGAGGCAACGGCTTTCACCCCTCCAACAAATCAGGAATTGGAAAGTCTTGGACTATTTAGCTGGCGCTCACTCTAACTACTATACTTGCAGGTCAACATCATCATACTATGTCTGTGACCATTCGCGCACAAACAAGAGAAAACTTGTCAACGAAAAAGCTGATAGCATTTGACACTTAACATGGTGTAACCTCTGGGTTTCTATCTTAAAGTGAATGCAGTGGTTGCAAAAAGAACTTTATCGATACTGGTCCATACTCGCTTCTCTAAGGCTTCTCATGGAACTTTCAGCACACACTCAAACACACATCAGTGTTCCACGAACCTTCAGAGAGGAATCAAGTCGTGTCCACCCAGTTTCATGTCAACTGGGCGGCACGTGACAACATTGCTCGAGCCAGCTCAGCCCGCGTGGGGTTTGTGCCTTGGGGACGAAGAAACCTCGACCCTGCCCGTTCATCACCCTACTCCAGTGCGTTCTTCATGGAAGCCATGTACGGCCTTCCCGCAACCCGCAACATGGCTTTATGCATGTCATGTTGTCGCGGTTGAGTTTTTCAATGTTAGGTCTTGTTCCAATGTGTTGTGCTCCAAGTCTCTCACTAGTGAGTGACTGTTCCAAGACTCTGCACCATGATGAACCTCATCCCTGGACCTACAAACAAAAGCCAACAAAAACACAATTATGTGTTTAAAACAAGTCATTCCTAGATTTATAGTCATTAAGTGTACACATGTATTTTACGGTATATGAACAATACATCAAAAAAGTCGTAGCTCTCAAGTCGATTCTAGCAAATAATCGACTAAGCTCTAGACCGCTAGACCTGGAACATGATCTTCCTTTCCCAGGTTGCATGTTGTCTTAGTTGGAAGGGTCCCGCGATGACGCGAGCTGGTCCGGTCCAGTTAGGTTCGACCGGTCCTACCGGTCCTACCGGTCTAGGTGTGCATGAAGTAGCAGGGATGACTTTACAAATTAGATTCCCACTAAGAATGTATGGACAACCGTGCCACTATCTAATTGGGGATCAAAGAAATTAAAGGAGGAACTTCAGAACTTCGACTTTTTTTGGACATCTACCTGTCCAAAACAGTGGTCAGTGGTAGCCTTGTGATTCCCAAAGGCTCTCGAGTGATGTCCCAATGATGCGGCGGAAAACAGAGACAGGTTGATTACGATGTGGTACCGTTTCATTACCTCTCTCTTCTTTGTTCACCTGGAGGTCTTCCCTCATTCAACTCATCCAAAGCCAATTGAGTCCGTCTACCCGAGTCGCGACCCAAAGCCACCGAGTGGCGTCCCAAGGGGTTCACCTGGTTCCGCACCAGGTCGGCGCCCCAGCTCTCACGTTCGCCCAGCCAGGCGCGGCCTAGCAACGGAGCATAGAGAATCAATGGGAGACTTCCACACCACCGGCACCGTAAATTCAACAAACATAAGCATAGAACACATTGAACATCGTTGTGAACACACCATTGAATGCCATTGAACACATCTCAGATGTCTGCATAACTGGTGTTTCTTGGAGAAATCTGCTCTTTGCGCGTGCACCTGTGTTGACAGGTCAAAGCGTTGAGGATACCCAAACACTCCATGTATGCCATATACTGTATATCCATATATGCCTACATTGGGGTCGGTAGTTTTGGGGGTCAATGTAGGCATATATGGCATACATGGAGTGTCTGGGATATGAAACCATAGAAGGACCCATAGGTTCATCTCATGAGTTTCTCTCGGTCAGCGCTCCCCAGAAAGACAAGGCTAGCTGATTTTGGTTTGATGCCTCTGAGTACTCAATTTGCACATAATTAGTTTCAGTTGATGTTAGTTGCAGAACCTATATAAACATCAATGTTTTTTTGGTACAAACCAAGGACCACAAAGGCCAAATCAACCAAACCAATTTTTGTTTATTTGTTTCTGTTTCCATCTGTTTCCCGTTTCATGTTGCATCACGTGAACTCACGCAAACTCCTCTGCATCGGTTTCTCAATTTTGTTCGGGTCAATTCTTCAGGAGCCGAGTCACAGGTTTCATCCTATTGAACCCTCACTCCATCGAAGAAAGTATCATTACCCCACTCAGAACTTGAACGGTACAAATCCGGAGGAGATGTTTTTGGGGCAACCTAAACCATCCAAAGCCACTGAGAAACACACCTAGACCTAGCCCAAATCGTCCTTTTCGGGGCTTGCGCAGCTGAAATCTGTGCCTCCTATACTCAACATAGACTCCCAGATCATAGATCCAGTCACTTTCACTTCCAGGGTCTGCCAACAGAGCGACCTCGGGTCACCCTGTGAAAGTGGTGTGAAGCCTTGACCGTGACCCGACAAAAATCCACCTTGCTTGTCCACGAGGAAGTCCACCCGCAGGTACTGTGGCACTTGCCCACCCGCATCCCGGGTGGCTTCTTGGACCACTTGTTCCACCTGCGAGGAGTATGGGGAGAAGTGGGGCGGAAGGACATCGAAAACCCATAGTTCTTGGAGGTGAAAAACATGCAACTATAGATCTCTTCTCAACCCAAATCCATGTTGAAATGGAATGTCCGAGAGCTTCCAAGAGTACCTACACGTTGTGGAACTGTTTGACCACATGCTGTGAAATCCGGTTGTCTAGCGCGGGGTTTCTTGGACAAAGCTGGTGTACAATTGATGGATGTATTTTTTTTCTCCAGCTCACAGCTGCAGGGGCAACTTGTCCTCATTAGTTCAGGATTCGTTCAAAATTCAACTGTCATAGGAAAACGGGCTTGCAGGCCATGTTCCCTCTATGATAGTTCAAAGGTGTCTCTACCCAATAGGGCTCCAACCACCTTGACATCCTCAGAAGGTACTTAGAGCTGGTTAGAGCTGGCACCCACGCTAAACACCTTGGCCCCTTCTCCCAGTTTCGGAGGTGGGCCGCCCCCGCCTTGGGTCGAATCGCCTCTTCCAGTGCCAAGCGGTCCAAGTGGCCCTTCTCCAAGGCAGCCCCTGGTCGGTTCAAAACAGGTGCCTTCTTTGGGTGAGCAGAAGGCCAGGAGCAAAAAGCACCAGGCTCTTTCACAAGACCTCTTCAAGTTGGTCCATGATGACCTGCTAGCTGCTTGAGCGACCTATAGTGAACCTCTCTGTGCAGCAAGTGCTTTGCAGGAGTCCTTATTTTGAGATACATCCATAGCATGCAGTCTGACTATAAAACGCTTACAACTTCGCAGTCGCTTAAGTTGGCGAGCGTCGGCAGGCCACTTCATTCCTGAGCTCAGGAGCACCCATTCCCAATGCTCTCGCTCAGTCAAAGCGCTCACGTGTTCTCAAATGAAGGCTGCACTGTACTGCTCGCATGGATGAACAGGCATGGTAGCAGTTCTCCCAAGGAAGTGCAGCGCAATGCCATGTCCCTATGTCCCAACACACCAAAAGCATGGCAGTTCCCCTGGAGAGAAAGTCAAGAGCGGATTGGCTCCACCCCTTGGGTTCGGATGAACCTGGGGGTTCATTGGACCGGGACGGCCTTCCCTGTTTGGATTCAAGGCTGAGCAAAACCAACGGGCCGGGTGGTTCAAAACGAAGACGGGCTGCGAGTTTTTGGGACGAAACAAATGGCTGGGTGATGGAAAACAAACCTGCTTGGGTGATCACGGGTTTGGGTGGGCATCCGGGGTGCACTTGAGTCTTTCAGGAATCAATGTTTCAGATTGATTTATCAGTGTCCGTGGGAGCACTGTTACTGGCAGTCTTTGGGAGATAGCACGGCACAGCCACAAACCTGATCAAACCATTCAGGTAGGTTGAAAGGAATACAAGAATCCATGTCCGGAACTTCCTGGGTTTGGCTTCTCAGGCTGAGTTCATGTCCGCAACGTCCTGGGTTTTGCTTCTCTGCCTGAGTTCCCACGTAGTATAGAACATGACGCACTTTGACTTGATTCTGGAGGCCAGTGCCATCAACATGCATGGATTTGGTTGTGGCATTCCCTGAATCAAGGAGTATGTCATGTTTTCTCTGCGCTGTGCGCAGTGGTCTGATTTCTTGGGCTGCGGTTGATTAGCACAGCTTGGGGACATTGATTCCACCACCCCGCTACCAAGCCCCGCAAGCCTCTCGCCCACTCCAGGCCCCGAAAAGACTGGGAAAAAACACGATTCTCAAAAGAGTCACTGCTGCAAACGGCCTTCTGACATCTTCTGCGAAATTATGATGATTTCGAAACGAGACCGGGATGATGTGTACAAACATGTCAATTCAATTGGAGGAACCTTGACCCATTTGACCACCTTTAAAACCGCCGGCGTTCCTGCCCCAGGCGCTTGTAGCATCCGGAGTTCGCTCGGCGCCCCACGCGGGGCACGGGCAACGTGACCCATCCGCGGCCCCTCAATTGACCCTCCAGGACCTGCGCATGAAACACACGGGAAACGGTGACAGGCGGGCTTTCCGTGTTTGAAACCACCGGGAGGGTGAAAAATGGGAGGTGTTTCCGCTGATTTGGATCGATAGAAGTTCTTGAGATTCGGAGTTTCTAAGTTGTTTGCATGAAGAAAAAGGGGTCGTGTGAGTCATGCAGTCAACTAGTTCAAGTGTTAAATTGCCGGAATTCACGCACAAATGCTGGAAGCCAGGCAGTTTCGGTCAAAGGGTATGGTCACACAGGCGCCACTCGAACTTGTGAGGCTGTGAGGTCTATATTTCTAAGGGCAGTGCTATGGAACCGAGATTGGGTCACCGAGAGTAGTGGCTACTCAGCCCCCAACAAAGCAATCCACTGATCCGGATCGTTACTCAAGACCTTACCAAGTTGCTACACTATCGGCTAGGTGAGTGCCAAATGTGCCAGGTTTGATAGATCTAAAGATATCTAAAGCACAAACATGAAATGGACCATCCCATACACTATCACGTGATGATCATTACCAGCTCCCAATATCTCCCAATCCGGTCTTGTCCCGGTCCATAGTCGCTGTATGCGGACTTCGTGGGTGCCGAGGCGCCATCCAGCGGAGCTCCGCCACCAAATCCACCTTGGCCTGCAGAAGGATGGTCAAAGCTTTCGCCTGCCTAAGCGGAAACACTTCCAGCGGCGTCGCATCGCCGCATCGGTTTTCTTCGTGGGAACCCGAGTGCCTAAGCGCTACAACTGGTTTCGTGGAACGCATGGCTTCGTGGACGGCATCATATCCAGTGGAAGACGACATTCCTTTACAAACGGGTGTTCCAGTATCATGTTTGTGAATCGGAGTGGAGATCTGCCATCCATCATCCGATCTTTAGAAGTTGCCGTGGGCCAAGCATGAATCCAAGCTGCCACCAGCCGGACCGGATAAGCTGTTCTTCTTCAGGTTCACAGCATGGGATCCAAGCAATGTGGCGTCCCTCAGTATCGTTTAGATATGATACTGAGTGCCCACCCCTCCAACAAAAGAAATCACATGCCGGGTGAAGACCCTGAGTGAATATGATGAAACAGGTGTTGAACATCATCGTCTTTTTTCTGTTCCTCCTGGGGAGTCCACGGGCTCGGTGTAGCGCATCCTTCTCTACACCCGAAGCATGTGCCGATCATCCGCTTGCTCTTTCATGTCCTGCCGAATATGTGATTCCATATATATATATACCTAGAGCCTATTTGACCTCTGTTTTGATAGGAAAAGGTGGTTGGTGATCCAAAATAGAGGTCATTCAGGTTCTAGGTATATACATATATATGTAATCTTCCAGACTGGTTCATGAAACACCCTCCTCCTTCACGCCATCCAGCTCCTCATGGCCCGGCGGCGGAGGGATCTTCGGAATGACCCTCTTCCGCAGAAACTCCAAGACCTCCCACGACGGAGAAATCCCGCCGGTTGCTCCACACCGCGCCCAAAAGGTCTGGTTCAAGATGAAGGCGCCGAACCAAAAGAGAAGCCTTTGGGTTAGTCATGAAGCTTTTTGTTTTTTTCCCTCTCTCAGCAGTCAAACACAAATGTCGTTCATCATGGCACAAGAGCAAGGAGTTTGTACTGATCCCAAACGCTCCATGTTTGGCATAGATTGCATTGACCTCTGAAACTGAAACCACCCCAATGTAGCTGCGCATGCCATACATGGAGTGTCTAGGGACTTGCACGCTCACAGATCTGACTAAAGCAATCCGCTCGTCGCCTCAAATGGTCGCAAGCGTGTCACTTGAGCACCACCCCAGGAAAAGCCCTGCAAGGCGGGCGGAGCGTTTTAAACGGAATCAAGTGGCCAAGGAACCCCCAAGTGAACATCTATGCGACAGAGTATGAGGTTTATTCAACTTGCCTACTTGTCGGCAGCCCTGGAAACTAAGCAAAATGGAACCTCACAGAATCTAGGGCAATTCGACAATCCAACCCCCATGTAGGCAAAACAACTTCTGCATCAAACTGCATGGAAATTGCATGGGCCAGAATGGGCTTCCCCACCACATTGAGAATGACCCAAGTCTTCGCAATCCCCGTGAGGTGTTTCGATGGCTTTGGTCACCCATATCATGGACCAGGTGAGTGAACAATCTGTGGCCTGCTTTAGCATCAAATTCTCCGTGGTCAAGCCATTGAGCTCAGCCTCGCGCAAGAGCTCCTGAGCGCTGCAGGTGTCTTTATGTATCCTTGGTCGATCACTTTCTGAGAGGCCAAGAAAGAAGTGATCCTTCAACAAATACGTCATGATGCAATTCTTGGGGTTAAAACATCACTAACCGGCTGATGATATACTTCTTCCGTTCACTAGCGCTTCTTCGTTTACCCGTCCTTCACTGCTTGCCGCACCGCTGCAGCGACTGGGTGTCCATTGGCACTCCACCCATGTGCTTTGCGGGTGAGGGTCCTCGGTGCAGCTATGTTTCAATCAACCGTTGAACCGTCGAACCCGGTGCTAGACCTGGAGAGCGCTTTTGTTAAGGCCCTATAGTCTATAGTCCTATGACCTATCCCATAATATATACCTAGAGCCTATTTGACCTCTTTTTTGATAGGAAAAGACCATATTTTGGGTGGTTGGTGATCCAAAATAGAGGTCATTCAGGTTCTAGGTACATAATATATACTATACCTTCGGTTGATCAAGTTGTGGAAAAAACACACCCGCACCGTGCACTCGCACCGTGCAGTCCGCATAGCATGCTCGTACTCACTGCAGACTCGAACGTTGAGTATGAGTGACGAAGCTGGGTGTTTCACTTCTGCTGTTGATGAGGCTCAACTGCTGATGGTGACGAAGTGACAGCCAGGCTGCTCTCCATTTTCAGCCGAAACAGCGCTGTTTCTCCTTGGGAGGTGACCTGCATGAGATCTGACGATCCCTCAGCTGGAAGCCCGATCAACACGTGAAAATCGGGGCCTTTGTGCAAGTTGGCTCAACTTGGCTCAACTTTGGGAAAGGACACGCGGATCATCGCCTTTCAAACCAATTTCTACTCCGGTCTACCGTGCCTTGGACGGAACCAGTTGGAGTGTTTGGACCGGGGCAAGACTAGATATCTATATATATATACCATGAGCTTCTGAACCCTACATTTGTGTAGGGTTTGCATACAAACCTCGTGTTTACCCGTGACATGAACTAAGACGATCGGGTTGACATGTAAAACCTCGTGTTTCTGGTCCAACCCTCCGATCGCCACTCCACTTAATAGATCGATCTTGGCTTTTAGCGGCTTCAGGCCATTTCCTAAGACCCTTCGATGTGGTCGTGCAGCTGAGCCGCAAGAACTGGGTCGGAGCCATGAACTCACTTCGGTACCTGGAGAGCCAGTGAAACACGATGAGGCTGGGAGAGCGAGGCAAAGGGGAAAACACAAAAAGGAAACTGATGTCACATGATGTCACTTCCATCAGGCCCTGGTGCAGTTTTCCTCATCTCCTGCCCTGGCTCAATTTCTGATGCTGGAACATGGTTCTCTTGGTTCCGTTCATGGGGCATGCTCACGGCATCACAGAATGGAAGAGACAAAAGCCGATGCCTGGAAGGCCGAGGCCTTCCTCTCATGGTGAAGCTTCCATAAGGCATGTGTTAATTAATGACAAGGGGTGCTAGTGCTAACCAAACTAAACTAACACAATAAATATGTTGCACAACTAGTTTGGTAAGTAAGGGACCTCGCTGCAACTTCATCTGTTACATGGTGGGAAGAGCCACGCAAACTGCAAAGGCCTCGAAGATAACTTTCCACTTAAATTCACAGTTTCACAAAAAGAAACTTGGACACCAGGGAGTTCCACTGTCGCAGGAGGTCATCCAACCACCAGTTTGGTGACAAAGGAATTGCAAATCCTACCCAATTCTATAGCAATTTCTGGAGTTGGGGCATGCAGGAACATCAGCAGGTCTCTGAGATTGAAAAGTCCATCTCAAACATCAGCAGCTAAACCAAAAACAACATCTTAACAAACAAGAAACACTTACTTATAATAAATAAAAAAAAAGAAACGATGAAACACATCTGAAGACATGAAAAGAACATCATTGATTGGCGCCTCTTGGCGCTATGGACTTCATCCAGCTCGGGCGAGGGGTAGAGCACCACGCTCCGCTCCTTCAAGGCCTCGACAGTATCTGGTCATCCGCAATAAGGGGCAATCTTCCGGATTGGTCATTTCAATTCTGTTCCAACTTGATCCCCCAATACTTCACACCTGTATTCTAGTGTGTATACAGCTGCAGGTAATCCTTGGGGATCAAGTTGGAACAAACTATCGAAACGCCTTTCAATCTTGACCCCCCCACTTTGGCCAAGCTGTGCATCCATTCCCCACGCTACGCTCCAAACCCGCCGGTCCGCATTTCTGCACGTGTCCCGTATCAGATACACCAATTCACCAATGCAAATGGATGCAAATGGTATGAATTAGTCACATTCACCCATTCACCAATTCCCGTATGGTTACTCACACTGCTGATTTCATCATCATGGAAGTGGAGTTCACCCACCGGGGTCAGAGCTCTGCGTCATCCTTGCGGTGCACCACTTTCCACCGATGATTCCAGCGACGTGTCTCTCGGAGACCGAAGGGGAGGCCGTTTTGTCATCACGTCCAGAATGAGATCTATCGCTCCGCCAGACCAGGAGCCCGTTCGTAGCGAATTCTTGTGACGTTCGTAGTCAGAATTTCCTCCGGACTCGTTCGTACGAAATGCCAGGAGCCCCGGACTCGTAACTCGTAGCATCCGAACGCTCCGTTCGTAGTAAGGCCAGGAGCCCCTACTTAGTAGCTTATTAGTTACTAGATGTGACCAGCACGAAACAAACAAGAAACTGCTCGAAAAACGGGTGAAAAAGCACCTCCCCATGAGCCACATCGCAACACACCATGCCCACACCGTCTGGTTTCCAGCTTCCCACGTCAGTAGCGGGCCTTCAGTAGCGGGTAGAAGTCCCATGATGGAACACCTGAAATGGCAGTGACTTCTGCTCTGGCACCTCTGGCATCCCAAGCCATGTTGTCTAGGCTGGAAAAAGGTGAAATATGTGGACAAATGCGCAGATGGTCTGACCCAACCTTTTTCCATGTGTGGGCCCACCCAGGTCACCTTGTTTCTTCGACGAAACGATGCCTATCGAACCCAAAAGTCGTCGCCGTGTTGACCGAGAGTTCATCGCTGAGCAAAAACAACAAATACTGTCCACAAACAATGCAAACAAAAGCTAGATGCCCCCCAAACTAATATGAAGGCATATGAAGCCTACACTTGAAAAAAAGGAGTCCACGAAATAGGGCTTCGGCTTCGCTTGCACTCGAGTCTCATCAGTGTGACACCGAGGCTATGGTGTGGGGGTACTCTCACAGGGTGCACTCCATCAATCCCCAAAACACCGTGAAGAACCCTAAATATATATATAACTATACATACAGTGCATATATGCATGTAAAAAGTGGAAACAATATATATATAATGTACAATGGTTGGATCAACAGTCACCAGGAAACCGGATGCACATATGTATAGTATAACACCTTTCTCCCTCACACCTTTGGAATGGATGTCACATGGTGTCACTGGCCGGAGCCCGAAAACGACCCCAACGTATGCCAAAATAAGAGCCCAGTTGTCCGGAAGACTTTGAATTTGTCCGCCCAATGATGACATAAAGCAAGTCACACTCCTTGTCATAGCTCCCATGCCAAGCATGTAGCAACATCGCTGAGCAGTCCGAGATGTGACCGTCACGGGCGGCCCTGGTCAAAGCCATGCACCTCGGCGAAGGACCGGGTGGAAGGGTTAGAATGGGTTAGATGCCACTGCCACAAGGATGGCACCCGGGCGCAACATGGATTGGGACTGGATTCCAAGATGGTGCTACAAAATGTGCGACATCAAATCACTCTAATTGCAGCGGTATGCAACCCTTTGTGAGCAACCTTTTGGAGAGCTTCCTAAGCATTTTGGGGGACGGTGCAATCCTAGCCTGCATATTCCTGCATTAAACAGGCTCGGCAAAAATCCATCGCAAGTGGATGGAATGGTCAGTAGCAGCTCTTGAAATTGCCTCCCACTGCTTTCGTGCACGGGTTAAGAAATGACAAATTGAATCGAAAAGCATAAACTTCGTGTTTGGAATGGAGGGGCATCTTGCATGCCAAAGATTTGTCCAGAACTTAGCATATTTGATCATATTTGCCAACATATTTGCTGGAGGCATGAGGCAAATATGCAAAGTTCATGACTTGGAGCAACTTTTGCAGCATCAGGTACATATAGACACAGAAAGCTGTGTGAGAAACATGGCAATATATGCAGGAATGGCGAGCAAATCACATGGCCACTGGGCACCTACAACCTACCCATCCACCGGTCACGTCTTTCTTCCATTCGGTGCACACAATTCTTCGGTCTCTGGTAGGCAGGTGGACACTTGAGACCTGGTGGTGCATGAGTAGTGAATTGTTCTTACCCAAACGCTCATGGGCCCTCATACCTGTGTGGTGCGGTGTACCGAGCGATGCACAAAAGGTACACGGAGCGACCCCCTTGGGATCTCACTTCTGACCAACTCCCCAAACACTTTCACCAAACCTTGGCAGATTTAGAGTGACCCCCTTTTCAACCACCTCAACTGATCGGTTATGCCAGACCCAAACAGCTCGTGTCTGGCCAACGCGGCCAACGCTTCTCGGCCAACGCGGCACGTCTCTGGACCACGCACCGGCCAGCGCTTGACCTCAAAGCCCAGCTCACGAGCAATACCTCAAAGGTGTGCGTCCGAATCGGGTCATTCAGGCACCAAATTAGGTCTTCCCCTTTGGGCTCCAGGAGTAGTATCACCATGTATTACCTAGGGTTAGTACCCATAGCTTACTGCTCCAGCAGCCATATATGGGCGTGCCGAAGCGAAGCGAAGGTATGACTGGACCTTGCTGGCACCCTCCCCCAGTCCCACTTTCTCAGAAGGTACGACTGGAGCATACTGGAGCCCTAGGGCTAAATATCAAGGGACACAAATGTATACTGTACATTACTGTACTATCATGGGCCCGCTGACAATACCGATTTGTCAGCATTATCAAACACCATAATGTTTGATATTGTTTGCGGTTGATTCATCCAACCAAGCAGCGGGCCAGGAGCTGCATGAAGGATCGATTGGTGAGCTCCTGGAGTGTGTCAGGCCAAAGGATGGGAAGGATTGGTAGAGGGTCGTCGCAAAGTTGCTTGCCATGAGGAAATCCACGAATGGGGATGATCATGGATGATCTATATGCATCTAGACCTACAAAGGATGTTTTGCAGTTCTTGGTGCGTTTGTAGTCACTGACTTTGTGAAGCATCAAAGTCGATTTATTGCTCTTAGGTTCCCACCGTGGTAGTTGTATACCTATACTGTACGGACGATCGATGCAAGTTCACGCAAGGTCCAGTACGATGATTGGCCCACAAGTTGGTTCTACAGCCTCTCCCAGAACAGGACATCGTCAAAAAAACATGTTGCAAAAAGGGAGCACTCCCAAACACAATCGGCCAAATCATGTCCAAAAGCAACCCCTAGATCTATCTATATCTGAACCAAGTGCGTGCTCAGAAGGTATTTGGAGGCCTAATTAGAAGGCATCCACCCCCAGAACACCATCTCAGAAGCACTAGGGGAAGCCAACCCACTAGCCAATCCATATTAAACACCATGACTCATCACGAATAAATTTTGAGCTCAGTGAAGGGGTGTGCGGCATCTCTTCCCATGCACCGCCACGGGCTCCTCACCTTTTTTGCAGCCGAGGGGCGCAGCAAAGCGGCGTCTGCGCACTCATGCGCCGAGTTGCTTCCCGTAGCTCCGGTGGCAAGCTGCTGAGGTCCTGGTCTGCATGGCTAAGCCGTCGCCTCTTCAAAATAGCCCTCTTATGATGGTAAAAATCAACATATCTTCAACACCAACAAAATGCACGACTTGGATTCTGTGAGCCCAACCAGGCTTTTGGTACTCGCTTGACGTGAGATATGGCAAGGTAGACATATGGCTTGTGGATGGACTTGCGATCAACATCTTGGACGGGCATAAGCGGCTCTTGGCATGATAGGGGCATTGAATGCTTTGCCTGCACCGCTCCACACAAAAGAGAGGACATAAGCCTTGCATGAGTGGCCTTCGATTCAAACCAACCAATTTACAAAGCAAATCCCCTTGGACATGTGATGTCTGATGGTGATCGTTTCCACCTACATGCGTTCCCACACACTTGCCTCTAGGGGCAAGAGTTGTGCCCCCATCTTTTATCACGCATGGTGGGGTAAATCGTCAAGAAACACTCGCTTGTCTAACTCTCAGCTATCTCCACCCAAGCGGTGAACAGCGTAGTCCTCGTTGCACTGCCAATTGGTGCCTTGGCAAGTCAGACATCCGTCGAAGAAAGGTCTCCAATCTCCAACAGCACTTGACACCTTCAAAGGTCGTGATTTTGAGGAAAAGCAGGTTTCCGGCTGTTTAATTGGACAAGAGGAAGCCACTCCTCGAGATGAAGCCACAGCCTAGGATGCATCTTCCGGTATTGTTTGCCCTTGTCTTCCACCAGTTTTCGATCCACAGCTTTTATTGCATGTTGATCGAGAAAGGGTCATGGCTTACGTATGCTCACGTAGTCATCCCCAAACCCAAAAGGTGACATGTCAGTCACATGGTCGTTCACGCAAAAGCCCCAGGTCTGAGACGAAGGACGATCGGTCTGAGGACACAGTTTGATATGGACCAAGTGGTCGAGAGTCGAGACCTGTATGATTCTTAGGGGCTCTCTGATCTGAAGACAACGCACCAGCACACCCAATACCATGTTGCTTGCCAGTTGCGACATGTAACCATCAACCCCAATGAACATGGGCTTCCCTAATCCAGGGTGAGCCGGGCCTGATCCGTCCAGACCCGGGTCCGCTGGGCCGCCGGATCGACCAGTCCGCTTTCACCGAGTGGCTGTAGATCAAATTGAAGACACGCTTCCGGCCCCTCAGGGGCCTCCTTGGCATCACTCCACCGATCTCAAGATCAGCCACATGCTTCGACGAACGACCAAAAGAAGTACAGTGCACCAGCGGACATCATCCGAATTCTCCGTTAAATTCAAAGCTACGACTGCACATCTTTGTGGAGAACATGGGGGGGACATCCACATGCCAGGTGTGAAGGTCTGCCGTTTCTGGAACCTAAACCGCCGACTGGATGAGCACGGTTCCATTCGATGAAGCAGGTGCGAATGGACACCCACACACCCATGTCTCCCAAACACTACCCCTTTTCAACCCAGCCAACTAACTATTACCTCTATATATAATCATTAAATAATACAATATAATATATATATATAGGTTTAATTATACTTGTAATTATATGTAATTATGTAATGATAATAAACTTAATGAAACTTATATATAGTTATATATATATTATATATATATAGTATAGTACTCCTATCATGGACTGTCTGGGGTTCCATCTTCAGCCTCGTTTCGGCACTTCCACCTTGGTCGACTTCGTGGACCTTCCGCGCTGGACGCGAAGGACCTTGCGCTCCTTCGACTTCACCATGGCACCGAGAGCGGCCGACGCGAAGGAGATCTCCCAAGTAACCGACGCGAATCGTTGAGAGAGCCGACTCGAGTCGAGGTGAAACAACGGCTGTAGACTCCAAAGAGTTTCAGTTCGGCGATAGGATCTTGACTGAGGTGTACCTGAAAATGATCCTTCAAGGTCTTAGAAGGCCGCTACAAGATGTGGCTTCCTATGGGCATATTCAAGGGATGCAACATGCTTCAAACCTTGGCCCAAGCTGAATAGGCCTACCGGTTCATCCCGAGGTCCTCTGTCTTTGGAGATCTCCCAACATTTGGCCACTTTGGGCCAACTGAACTGCTTCGACGGCTGAGCAGTCATGGATGCAGTTGCGCCAACAGTAGGGACCCCCGGGGGCCACTGGAGCCTTAGGGTATACCTTTAGAGGGTGTTCTGCCTCTTTCATTTTAAGGTTTGTGACATCTTGTGACTGCTATACCGTACGACGATCCTCTACTCTACGTATGCGTCCTTCTTTCAAAAGAACCCCCAATCAGCAACAATGCGTTTCATGTGTGTGTCTAACAGTTTATCACGCTTCAATCAATGCTTAGCGGCGTGGCCTCCTTGAATGTTTGCCAGGAGGATGCCTTTAAAACAGCTTGGTGTTTACGCAGTCTACAGTATCATATACCTTCCATTGCGCGTTGCGAGTCAAGACTCACCAACCAACAGTGAACGGACCAGTCACCAGTGAGCTTAGTAGGAGACTGAGAAAAGACCCCGAATACATCCCAATACCTATACTCCTTCTGGTTCTCCTCACCCAGAAGAATCAGTTGACAAGGTCCGCTGCTGCATTGTCAGGGTTCCAAGATGAAATGCGGCAAAACTCTTCCAAACTCTTCCAATCCAAGCCTTCGAATTCAAAAATATTCAAACTTCTTCCCACAGACCTGGTGGTTCTCCCCCACAAATCTGGTTTAACTCTTCAACCACCACTCTATGCAGGACTCCTTCCCACGGTTGTACGTCTCCGGCACGTCTCCGCTACCTCCGCTGGGTGCCCCAGGCATGGCTAAAGGTGCCCCCGCCCGCCAGCGAGAACCAAAACTCAAAGGATTCCTCATCAAACGGGCAAGCGATTCACTCCAAAAAGGGAAAACACACACACACACCTCGTCATCGGGCGCGTTCTCCACCATCTCTCCCCAAGAAACGTTGAACATTCCAGTGCATCATGTCCAAGAATGGGGAGATGGGGAAGAATGAAAAGGCAAAGGGATCTATTTTTGACCAACTCGTTGAGTCCAACACTCCATCAACGCTTTTCTATGCTCACAATTGAGAGGAAAAAGAACACACACCAAGCACTTCCAACGGGTGCCCTGTCTGGAGACCTGTAAGTAGGGCATACGGTAGTCTATTGGACCCATTGGATGACCCTGGCAAACAAACATTCGGTCACTGAGTACTTCAGTTCCGCATGGCTGTGTGGCACTGTTCCATCTCATGGCGTGACACCCAGCGACTCGATCGTGTCACAGACCGGCGAAGGGAGCGCGCTGTGCAGGAAAGGAACGGTTGAATCCGACTGAAAAGGTCACCACAGGGCTGGGCCTTCTCAAGTCCGTTGGTGTGTGGAAAGCCATGCAGTTTTCTCAGTCAAAGGTATTCAAACATGGTCTATGAGCAGCAGCTCGTGGGATATTTACACATATATAAGCACATGCTGCATTGCACTTTGTTCATTGCCTCCTGAGGGGTTGCACCGTACATCGTACCCTCCCATCACATGGCCCACTTGGCGAAGGCACATTCGCTTCCATGCGGTTGGCCAAACTCTTCTCCTTGGCCCAGCGGGGCGCCGTGAGTCGACTCTACAATGGGCCCCTTCCGTGGGCATACAGTAACATGGCATAACATAGCACCAGCACAGCACGTGCGAAAAAACAACAAAAAAACGAAAACAATTCGTCGTAGGTCCTCTGGAACAATCACGTGTTGACAGCCACTGGAAAACACAAACTTGACCACCAACCGGTGATGTTCGCGTGTTGCAGTCCTTTCAGCCAAATGCTAGGCTCAAGGTAGAGGTCAAAAGTAGCAGGCTAGTGTATTCGGACACCTTGCCACAAGAAATAGCAATCTTAGGCACCGCCGAATGCCAAGTCATTTCAGCTGTTTAGGGCGCTAGGGAGTGACTCAATTGTGATGAAAATAATATGTATATATATATATATATATGTGTGTGTGTGTGTTGATATATGTTCAATTGCAACACTCTACATCCAGCGCCCGCTCGCAACATCGCTGCAAAAGGAGGCCCCCCCGGCCGCTCCATGCTCCGCGCACTCCCGATCCTCTCCGATCTCCGGCGCGCCGGCCGCGCTTTCCGGGGGCCGGGGTTCCCGACCAAGAAGTAGGGTGTGCGCCAATGCTTTTGAACCTCGGTGTTTCGAGGCTTGGGACGGAACCTCCATATGAGGCAGTGCAAATCAATAATCCTTGGTTTGAACATGGAGTGTCTTGGATCCATGTTAAGCGCGGAAAGAGAGGGCCACTTGGGTGCCAAAGTGTCACAAGTTTGGGTGTTAACTTGGGTTATCTATATCCCTAGGGCTCCAAGTACCTCCTCAAATGGTTTTTGGACCCTCCAAACCCACCCCAAACACCTTCTCAGAAGGTACTTGGAGCCCTAGGGTATAGGTAAAAAAACATATATATATATATACAGTAACTTTGATGTTTTGTGGGCCCGCGCTTACCACACAATCCTGCTTTGGGAGGCAAAGGAGCTCGAAAGAAAAGGAACCCTGGGCGCATGGATCATGATCCACGTGAGCAGCTGAAAAAACCGTTCTAAAATCATTATCCTAGCTTGAAATCACAGCAATTCCAAGCGGTGGCTGTCATGTACCCAACGTGCCGTGTATATGGTTGTATGTTGTGCATAGCCCTTTTAACAGCTGCATTCTTATACTTACAGAGTCCAACGGTTCCAAATGTGCAGCTGAAAGTAGACGTCCGTTACACCCAGAAGCAAGTTGTCAAAATATGGTTGATAGTTTTTGTGTATGCAAAACCCCCGCCTTCATGCGGGACGTCATGCAGCCACGTGCAGCCCACTCGCTTGTGTGTGTATGTCTGCAGTAGTGGGAGTAGTAGGCCCTGGAAAGCACTTGGACAAGTGGTCAAAGTTGCAAAGGGGTCTAGCGCGGATCTAGCGCGCTTCCAAGCCAGTGCCTGAGGCCACCAAACGTCTGTTGATCTTATCTAAGTTACCTAAGTACTTGACCCTAGCGCCAAGCCTAGCGTAACCCTGCGTTTTGCTAGCGCGACAAGGTAACATATCCAAGTTAAACAACAGAATAACAGAATACCAAGCGGTGGCCAAGCTGTTTCTGAACCTGTGGGAACCTTCCTTACTTAATACATATTACCTTTTTTGTTCAACTCATGTGGTGTTTGGCCCATCCCTGTTCCATCCTGCCGGGCACAGCGAGCACAGCTCCAGCTTCGGTCCGAAGCGAATTCCCTGCAGCATGACGTGGTGAAGGCCCAGCAACTGAGCGCTTGGTCTTCAAGGGCTCTTCATCCTTCACCTCAGCAAGAGCATGGGCTCTTGGAAGAAGAAGCCACGAGTTCAGTGTAACAACTATGAGAGAAAAGAGGGGTCCTTGGTTGCCAGCCTCCGAACGGAGTTCCATGACAAGGTGGCTTTTTAATGTTGGTCCTATCCGGTGAGTGGATGCTCTGGACTCTGTTCGGCCCCCCCCACATCGAACGAAATGGCACTGCTGATCTAGAGGTCTCCTCTGGATTCCTCGATATATAGAATGGTGCAACTCCACTTCATGTCATCCGATTTCTTCGAGACAAGGACCCTGAAAACCGTCGACCGGCCCACTTTCATCAGGATCCGGCACCGAACACACCGACCGCATTGCAATTCTGCGTCCAAATCCGGCCGCGTGGCGTGCCAAATGTAGGGCCCCGCAATCTTGCGCCTTGGCTAGGATCGTGGAAGGTTTGGAGAAACTGGTCGTGGAGAAACTGGTAGTCAGCCAGGGCCCTTCCAGCCAGGACGACTTGAACTGGAAAGCCCTTGATCTGAAGGCAAGGAAGTACCACTGGATAAAGGTGGCGCCAGGGAGAAACTTGGCCGCCATTCCGTGGATGTTTGAATCGCATAGCACCGGAGCACATGCGGAGCAAACTTGTAGGAAAATGCCTTGCTATCTTCATGGAAGCTACGCATAGGTTTTCCTGGATAAGAATTCAGGATAGGGAAAAAGACCTCATATGACTCATATGTATGTCATAGAATCAAGCCCCGAAGATGACCAAACAAGCTTTCCCCACTTCAAGAACATCAAACCTGGTGCCCAGCGCGTTGCGGCCCCCACTCGCCTTCCTCCCCAGACCGCAGCACGAGCTCACAAGCGTCGCGGCGTCCGAGTGCCCCCCACGATCCCGCCATGTGTTCTTCGTTCTTCCGCTGCGGGTGGACTTTGGTGTACCAATCCGGGTCCTGAAAGCGGCTACGCGGAGGAAGTCCCGTCGCCGAGGTGAGGCGAGGTTTTCAGTGGGTGCGGGGGAGTGGATGGTTTTTGGGGACACGGTTTTGCAGCAAATCAGTCCTTCCTCGCCCCCGCACCTGTGGAAGGCCATGAGTCAATGAGCATTTGGGTCATTGCTTCCAGGGGTGCCGCTGGGCATGTGAATCAAGGGGCTGGCTTAGGGGTAGCCAAGGGGTTAGTTGTCTATTTGTCCCGATTGTGTCTGAGAGTCTAGGTCAAGCAGTACGTCCCCCAAAACGTTTCATCAATTGGGAAGTGTGCGTGCAGCTTCCCATCAACACCTTCCGCTCAGGATGCCATGATAGTCCCATATCATGCTTCTTTGGGATTGGTGATCGCTTCTTTGGACGTATGTTCCACACCAGCGAAACGTGCATGTTCTTTCTCGCTCGAGCATTTTCACAGGCCACTGGAACTGCTGCGCGCGAGCGGCTCGCAGCTCGCTGGCCAAAGCCGGTGTGACTGGGCCTATTGATCGAAACCCCTCTCGCTGATCTTGTCGCCGATCAGTTGCCAGTACTCCGCAATGTCCATGTTCTTAGCAAGATGTCGACACGTGCAATGACACGATGCAATCGGATCATGTCGTGATCTCGTGCTCTGGATCTCTCATGGCATGCTTAGTTCAAGGATTTTGACATGATTTGACGTTATGAGCTTCTCGCGATCTCATGGATCTCATGACATTGTTCATCTATGTTCTATATATATAGTTCATTGCATTCAGCCGGCGTTCAGCCTGTGATTTGAGAGTGCAATCTCTGAATTTAATCGTGCCTACGACCGCCCAGCGTGGGCAGAAAAGCAGGGCGAAAAAGGATCATCGTTTGGAGGTCGTGCTGATTTCAGCCTGAACCCCCCTGAAAAGCATTGTTTGTTGTCAAAAACGATTCGTGGGATACACCTGGCATAACGATCTGTGAAGAGATGTGCCACCAATACTATGAAAATCAAGAAACTCGGACTCGGATGTCTTCGTCCAGCAGCCACGCGATTGAGGCCCCCGGCCACACGAAACTGTGGATGCAATTGAGGCCCCTTCTGGCGCCACCACATGTAGGGCAGATACCACAAATAGCCAAAAACGCTCAAGCCAAGCCTAAGCGCTCAAGCGGTGGTGGTGGCAAAGACCACTTACTCAAACACCTCATTGTTCTGTATACAACAACTCGATTGCCTACCATCGCAGCGACTAAAAGAGAGTGATTGGACACTAGGATCTCGTACGGTCCTCCTACATCACCTACATCACCTGAGCTTGTGATTGTATGCGGTGCTCTTTGGAGATGTCCAACGATGGTGCAGGTTTTGTTCTAGCGGGGGAAACTCCGACAAAATGAAACTCTAAGCTGCTGAAACATGATGACACCTGTCAAGCCTGTCAACTGGTTTTCACCCTCTGAGCTGAAGGGAAGTGACTTCGATAACCGAGAAGTGTACCACACAGGGGCGACCATAGCCATTTTTTAGGGAAGTGACGTAGGCAGCGGCAGAATCAAACCCTCGGGCAACCGCCGGACTCGGCTCTGGCTCTTCGCTCGGCGCCTGGGTGTTTCGGGCCTAAAGACCTGGACAAAAACAACAAAACTATTACAAATTCTTTTGTTTTTGTTGTTCTTGTTGTTGTTTTTGGAATGTTGGAGCAATTTGTTGTTTTGGAATTTGTAGTATCCATGAACCTTAATTCCAGATCCACTGGGATACGACATGTTGTGCGTGTTTCGGCAGCACTTGCATCTGCCCTTCGTCCTATTGGGTGACTGTGATCGCTTGCACCTTCAACAGGGACAGCACGACGGCCCCAGAGCGAGCTCCCTTTTTCTCGATGCCGCGACGGGCTCAGCTTTCCCAGAAGCGCACCGGTGGATCGTTCAATGCCTGGCCGGGTTTTACGAGATTTCATGAGAGCCATGGATCTTCCGAGAGGTTGAGGGACCTGAGCTTGAGAGCCCCGAACTTGCAGTACATGGGATCTGCATTCCATATATAATCCCATTGATCCTGGACCCTTTTCAAAGGTTGATACGTTCGTGGGACGTATGATTGTCAAGGGCTGTTGGAAAAAAAACACTCTAGATCATCTTCCGAAGTCGGACAAACCGCCCCGATGACTGAACACGAGACGTCGCGCCGGGCGCCCGGAGTTCCAGGGCAGGACTATGTGAAAAAAAAACGTCTGCGTTCACCTCAGCGATGTAGACATCAAATGACATACAGTAAAAATGATGTATGATATATACACATGACACAAATCTTCTCCAAAACCAGATTCCTGCTTCAAACCAATTTGGCATCGCCCTGTGGTTTTTGCCCTTCAAAGCCGGGGCATGACAGATCAATCGCTCGAAAACACTTCATCGTCCACTCAGCTGGAAATGTGAACGGACCCATGGCCCATTTGGACCCTTTCGCCTTCCAAGACCGGTGGATAGGTGGATCGGTCGTCTGACATTCCGTAGGAACAAAAGAACAAGGGTTGCTTGGTAAGAACCCATTGAACCAATGGCGGTTGCATCTTTTGGAGGGACACCTTGGTGGAACACATGCGACGACATGCCAATGTATGGTGACATAATCCCAAGTGAAAGGTACTGAAAGGTGAACAAAAACGACCCATCGTCTCATGTTTCTCTACAATACATCTTACATCAACCATGAATTCTGCAGTGTGCTGGGCTGATCAACATGTTGCCTTTCATTTGGTTTTGGTTCCTTTTGCGGGACACAACATACCTTGGGATAAGAGATGGGCCTATATATAGTGTGCATCATGCGTTCAGGTCTCTGCTTTTATCTTCTTCTCCCCACGTCCGGTGCTTGCCGATCTTCCCGTCTCCTCCAAGGGCGCCACGATGAACTCTGCCGGGGGATATTGCGTGGTCTCCGGGATCCGGTACTCGCGGCCGTGGCGCCGGAAGTTGCTGCGGATTCCTCGGCTGGGGCGATGGGAGGCCCGCGCGAGGATGGGAGATATTTACTTTCGGTTCCACGAGTGGGGCGAGGGTGAAGAGGGTGAAGAGATACTGCGCTCTCATCGTGGTGCCGTGCGCATTTTCGGACATGGTGGCCACTTTTCGTGGCAGGTGCAAGGGAAACCACGTGCTTGGTGGTCCGTCACTCACTCACTCACTCACCTACCTCACTGACTCACTCACTCACTCACTCGCTCACTCACTCACCTACCTCACTCACTCACCTACCTCACTGACTCACTCGCTCACTGACTCACTCACTGACTCACTCACTGTAACTCGCTTACTGTCACTCACTCGCTCACTCACTCGCTCACTCACTCACTCGCTCACTCGCTCACTCACTCGCTCACTCATTTGCTCACTCACTCGCTCACTGACTCACTCGCCACCGCCATCACCACGATCTCCACCTTCATCACCACCATCACCTCTCTGGACCCCAATGCGTCTAGATCTGTAGGCTTTCTGCTGCTACACCTCTAGACCTCACACACACACACACTGTTTGGGGTCTCCTGCCGGATAATCTTTCACACCAAGTTATAACATGTGCCTTTCTGACCAAACGGGTGGTTTTCACTCCGCTAAGCCCATGATTTCGAGGAGTGTATTCGCGGTGTCCACTTCGTTTTCTACCAACCTGTTCATCCTGTCTGCCACCATGGGACGGTCCCGGATGTCCACGGGATGATCCCAGTTGGTCTCTCTGCGAGGCTTGTCTGGAGGCCTCAGCTTTCAAACAGCAACAGCAACACTCCACATAGATCCATATAGGGCATCTTTACCTACATTGGGCTAGTTGAAAGGGGTCAATGTAGGTTAGAGCTCAGTCCCAACAGTGGGTGTCTGGGAAACAAAAATGCGCGCACAGCCAATAAAAGGACGTCATGTAAGGAAACCTCGCTAGTAGCTTCTTGTTACTATGCTTGTAGGCCTCTTGTTCAAAGCAACGTGGATCTTCCGCCGAGGAGAAGTGTGTTCCCAGTTTTTGAGCCAGAGTCTCCGAAGTCTCCCAAGTTTTGAACGTGGAAACCAGCTTTCGAAGGCAAATGAAGTCTAAAGCAGCACCACAACTGCCTTTGAGTCTCGACTCGGCAGCTCTGCTTTCAGGAGGTTTCCTTTCCTGGAACACCTACTTACTTGAGCTTTTTGGCATGTTTTTGAGTTCAGGGCCCCAAAAGGCTTCCCCAAGACAGTGGACGGGATGATTGATTCAACGCATGAAGTAAAAAATCACCAACCAAGTCCACAACCCACGGCTGGGTGGTCCAATAAGCCTCAAACAAGTGCATTGGTAATTAGGGGTTCCTCAATCGATGTCCCTCCTCTAAGGGGGGGTTGTCCTGAAAAAACCACTGGAAAAACAGGTCTCAGGTCTCCAAATCCTCACCCTTCTCCCCCACAGCAAGCTGCAAGTCGTGGCGCAGGAAGGACCTTGGAAACCAAGGTGGCGAAACAAATCAATGAGTCACTAAGGCTTCATGACATGGTCAGTGGATGTAAAACATCTGCGATCTGGATTTCTCGCAAGAATGACACTTGGAGCAAACGATGAACCACTGGAAGACCACGAAAAGGTGGTTTTCAGGTAGAATTCGCGTGTTAGTGAGAACAGCTCTGGCCGAGGTTTTTAACATTCAACCAACAACACCTCCACACCCAGGACAGCTGGTAGGATGCGTGTCTTCTGTGCCTTCTCCATACCAAGGAAGGGCAACTGAGTTAATTCGAAAACGAGCGACTTCGTCAGTCCCATGTGGTCTCAAGATCGCTCAAGATCGATCTGCAGGATCGGCGGAGATCGCCAGACGCGCGGGGATCCATGAACTGCAAAAACCGGTCAGAAAACCGGTCAGATCTGGCCAAAACCTGTGGAGTCAGGTTTCGGGCGAACCCAGTCACAGGTCCACCATGGACCAGTCGTTAGCTCCCACCTCTCAGCTGAAAGACTCGACGTCCAAGAGACTCTTCAGGCTGAAAGAGGATGAAGCAGGACTCCTGGGGACAATGGATGGTTGTTCAGCTTCATCCTACCAAATGAAAACCTCCTCCAAATGTAGACTGAAGACTCTTGATTCATAACCCCTCCATATGAAGAGGTTGTTCAATTCCAATGGGTGCAGGATGGTGCAGGTTATTCATCAAGAGATGTCAAGAGCCTACATGACTCCTCCAAAGACATGTTTTTCCTGTGCCATGCTGTCGCGCATCATGCGATTACACTCTGACTCACTAACATGGAAGCGGAAAATGGGGCCCTGGAAGACCACTCTCCTCTACAAACAGGAGGTTTTTCACTTCCATGTTAGTGAGTCAAAGTGTATCATTCTTGGACAAGTTGCCGGATGTTGATTGAACTGGTACCGCGGGTTCTCAGCCCCGTAGCAGGGAGCGAAGCTGGTCACGAAGATGGGCTCTCGAGCGAACCTGGTCTCGAACGAAGCCCACGCAAATGGGTCCGAAAAGACCAAACAGCGGGAACAGGACTGTGACCTTTTTTGATCTCCTAAGTTTGAGGTCACAGGTCACAGGTCGGGGCTCCAAAATGATCACTTTGACTCTCGAGGATGTTCCCAGAATCTCTGCCAACGCGGAGGAAGATGAACACATGCTACATCATATGCTGCAACACCTGTTTGACAACTGTGTGACACTACAGTAGTACCTATCTTCTCCCCATTCACCAGTTCCAAGTCCTCCCATTCTCCATCCACCATTCTCCTTAGGACTCTAGGCTCCCGCCAGGAAGCTGGAAGTACCATCCTCGTCCTGGACAGGACATGGGTGGGTAATCAGGGGGTGACGAGCTCCAGTCATGACAGTATCAACGCGGGGCAACTTGGACGTGTTGAGTGCCCCAATGATTCAATGGAGATCCACAAGTCGTGTTGAATTGAGTGAACCGTTGAAAGGACCATTGAGATCCATTGGGGTTGTTATGGCCCAAGAGGTGTCGCAGGTCGTAAGATCAAATTGGTGTGAATTTACCCATTGATTGACTGGACACAGGAGGCTCCCCTGTCTCAAACTCACCTAGCTACCCACTTGCTGCAAGCATTGCTGCACCAAAGATTGACCTGTGAGCAAGCACATTGGTAACAGGTGGTTGCTGCGGTGGTGACTC